CGAGTTCCATCCGCGCAGCTCGAGCACCAGCCGGAACACCTACTCCTGCACGGACTCGCAACCGGATTACTACCATGCCAGGAGGGCCCAGAGTCAGATGCCACTGCAGCAGCACACACCGCTCAACCATAATCCCCACTCGCTGCCCCATCCCGCCCATCCCCATGTGCTGACCCATCCACCACTGCCGCCCCACCAATTCCGGGCCAGCAGCAACCAATTGAGTCAGAGCAGCAGCAACTACGTGAACATTGAGCAGATCGAGAGGATGCGCCGCCAGCAGTCGTCGCCTCTGCTGCAGACCACATCGTCACCAGCCCCAGGAGCCGGAGGATTCCAGCGCAGCTATTCCACCACTCAGCGGCAACACCATCCTCACCTGGGCGCCGCCAGCTATGATGCAGATCATGGCCTGCTAAGCGCCTCCTATGCCAACATGATGCAGCTGCCACAGCGGCCACACTCGCCCGCCCACTACGCCGTCCCGCCGCCGCAGCAGCAGCAGCATCCCCAAATCCACCAGCAGCACGCCTCCACGCCATTCGGCTCCACACTACGATTCGATCCGGCTGCCATGTCAATCAGGGAACGACAGCCACGGTACCAACCCACAAGGTAATCCACTGCTTTATTTAAAAATAAATAGATAAAGTTACTATTGGCAAGAAAATAGGGCAACAAAAGAAAGCGAAAATATTTAATAGGATTCCAAGCTGGTACAAAAAAGCATTTCGTGTTGATTATCATAGACCCTTTTCAACAAATAAAAAATAAATGTAAATCAAATTTTAAGCAATGTTTTAGCAATATTTTGTAGATTTTTTAACGTAAATGTTTAAATCTCAGAGAGCAACTATTTGGAGATCATTATAATATATAATTAAATATGGAAATTCCACACTTTCATTATCAACGAAAAACAATGACAATGTACTTTTTTATATGCTTTTAATATATATACTAGTTGATACTGAGGTCCATAATAAAATTTAGAATAATAATTAATAAAAAGCTTAGCCAATTAAAAAAGACTGCAAGTCATGAAATTGAGTTGAAAAATCGTGTTTACCAGTTTGTTTTATAATATTAACAGTTTGAAAATTCTAACAAGAACCTATTTATACGTTTTCTCGAAGGTCTGTATGAGGAATTTGGCCAGGTAGTGTGTAGAGTTAAAAAGATCAACTGTTTTTTCAGAACCACCTTTTCTGCTTCCACAGGTCCCCAATGCAGCAACAGCAGCAGATGCAGCCACTGGCACCTCATCTCAGCGGTAGCTACTCCAGCGACTCGTACCCGATCTACGAGAACCCTTACCGGGTCTCCTCGATGCGCGCCACCCAGTCGCAGCGCTCGGAGTCGCCGATCTACAGCAACACGACGGCCTCGTCGGCCACGCTGGCCGTGGTTCCGCCGCACCACCACCAGGGTCACCTGGCAGTGCCTTCCGGGAGCGGCGGAGGATCGCTTAGTGGCAGCGGTCGTGGCGGAAGCTCTGGCAGCGTTCGCGGCGCCTCTACCTCAGTGCAATCTCTGTACGCCCCACCGCGAACTCCGCCCAGTGCGGCTGGCGGAACGGGAGGCAGTGCCAATGGTTCCCTGCAGAAGGTACCGTCTCAGCAGTCGCTCACGGAGCCCGAGGAGCTGCCCCTGCCTCCCGGTTGGGCCACGCAGTACACACTGCACGGGCGAAAATACTACATCGATCACAATGCCCATACCACGCACTGGAATCATCCGTTAGAGCGCGAGGGACTGCCGGTGGGCTGGAGGCGCGTGGTGTCAAAAATGCACGGCACCTACTATGAAAACCAGTATACCGGGCAGTGCCAGCGTCAGCATCCGTGCCTGACATCCTACTACGTCTACACCACGTCAGCTGAGCCACCTAAAGCCATTCGGCCAGAGGCGTCGCTTTACGCTCCGCCCACCCACACTCACAACGCCCTGGTGCCTGCAAATCCTTACTTGCTCGAGGAGATCCCCAAGTGGCTAGCCGTCTACTCGGAGGCGGACTCCTCCAAGGACCACCTGCTCCAGTTCAACATGTTCAGTCTGCCGGAGCTGGAGGGCTTTGACAGCATGCTGGTGCGGCTCTTCAAGCAGGAACTGGGCACCATCGTGGGCTTCTATGAGCGTTACCGGTGAGTGAGCGGTCGCTTTACCATGTTCTCCGCTGTAAATAGGTACTACTCTCTTGTTTTACTTTCAGTCGCGCTTTGATACTCGAGAAGAATCGACGCGCCGGTCAGAACCAAAACCAATGACCAGGTGACGACTGAATCAGACCGCATACTCGCTAGCAGCTATATAGTTTATAGTGTCCTGCAATCGACCTTTAACTTATTTAACCATCGACTCATCGCGAAATCAGTGCCTTAGACAAGACAAAACCAGGAGGGAGCCAAGCCAATCCATGACAGTTGGAGTGCCTTTTATAACGTAGAAATGTGTTAAGTTCTATATATTCAATACTGTGATTTGAGCTTGGTGTTTGTTTGTAAAATGTGAAAATTAAACTGGTTTACTGATCATCTTACTTAGCCAGTGCAATCGTAATCGCCGTGCAACGTGAACCCCCACAGTTTGTTCAAGTGGAGTCCGATTCTCCCCCGGATGTTTTCGAAATTTAGCCCCGAAGCGTAAACAAGGGCCAACAGTTGGTGGCCAAGTCTTGCTTGTTTTGGTTTGGCACATATTTCCGAGCTCCCTGCCAAGTTTTCGATTCGCTTGCAAAGTTATGCATTGGGCACAAGTGGATCGTGGCTGATTCTGCATCAGCAAAAAACTTTGTAGAAAGTGAATCTGGAATTTGTTTTTGTTTGATTTTGCTTATTTTTAGTCTCCGATGGAACGCTCGTATACCATTTAGTCAAACTTGATATTTCAGAGCCGTTGCCCTTATCGTATGCTAATAAAACTTTACTGTTGCTCTTTCTGAAGGCCCACAATATGTTTCTTCTGCTGATAAGATGTTTTATAGCTTGCAGTATGCTTGAGGGATATACCCTTTACAATTGGACTTCAAGAATTGCTTATAAGTACTACTGATTAAACGATCCCCAAAGCTTTTCAAAACATTTGAAAAGCAAAAAAAACAATTTTTAAATATGAATAATATTACAAAGTCCAAAGAAAGCAACATTTATTAATTGTACATTTTTGGGATAACCGTAATACAAATGAAATCCAATTTAAAGACTCATTGTAAACAAATATGACTGAATTGACTTTCAGATTAAACTCATTCGAGGATCTTCTTTTTTTTTATTTAAGTATGGTAAGAATAAAGATGCAAGTTGTTAAATGTTTATTGCCAATACACGAGCGCCTGGAATTGGTTCTTTTTGAAATGATAGCTCAAAAATTATTGTTTTATTTCAAAAACCTGTTGCAGATTCCATTCCCGAAATGTGTTGTCAAAATATTTGGTTTTTCCCACTGAAGTACACACTTTTTCTGCTGATGGGTTCTCAAGTGCAAAAATAAAATATAATAAAACAACAATTCGCTCTCACTCCAATTGCTGTGCTTGCTGTTGTTGTTGTTTGGGGCGTCGCTGCCGACGTCGACTTCGCCGCTGACTGCGCAGCGACTGCACCGCTCCAATATTTAAACGGCTCCATTGAATCGCGCACTCAGTTGCTGGAGAGTCGCCATCGGTTCCGAACTCATTTGACGCCATTACCACCCGTTTAATCGCCAGTTAGGCACATTGTTTAACTTTAATTTTAACGTGAGTGATGTGATGTATATCACTTGGCAAACAGCCTGTTCTGAGCACTTAATCTTTATTTCGATCAAAACGTTCGAAAAATGTGTGTTTCGTTGGACGCAGAAATCTCCGCACTGCTTTCCCAGACGCCAGTGAAAGTTCTAATCCGGCTGAAACAGACGCAAAACAGTCGAATCTCGTGCTCGGAATTGTGATTGAATGGCTGTTATTTAGACAATTGGTTTTTTTTTAACAAAAGAACATTATATTGTTTCTGACTACGCAATTAAGATAAATAGATACAATTTAGACATCAAAGCCGAGTTTTTATGTGAAATATTTACATTGAATCTATTTAAGCGTCATCAGTTTTTTTCAATATTAAGTGAAAAACATTAAAATAATAACATTAAAGTGTAAAATGAAAAGATAAATATTCTATGTTCTTTTCGTCCTTCGTAGTATGAATGTTTATTCAGCAGGCTATATTAAAAATTAATGTTTGTTAATGAATGATTTATAGGGAGCCAAGTTCACTGCCGGATCATGACTTGCCATAAGAATAATACTAAGTGGTTATCTGGCGATCGCAGTGCATTTCCCAATCTATTGGCTATCTGGAAGTTGTGGCACACTGCCGCAATAATACGAATAAACTCGATTGACACTATCAGTTTCATTGATTGAGATAAGCCCATTCTCACGCGGTATTTACACTTCTTCACAAACGCCTTGTCACGGCCCTCCTCTATAAACCTCTCGCAATATAAATAGTCTGGAATCTTTCGGTTTTACGACTGACCGACAAAGCCATGTATTTCCTGATACGGGCCAAAAATAAAGAGTGTGCTCGAGATCGTGTGCCGTGCAAAAGTTTGCTCTAATTGCGAAGTTGTAACATTGATCGACATTTGTTGAAGGTTGCCAACTCACGCAGCAATTTTATCACAACACGAAAATTCTGTACACGTAGATTTTAGCGACAGATATATACAGAAATATGCTAAAAGCTTTAAAGAAAAGAAATAAATAAACAAAATAATAGGTAATCTCAATTTTATAGCAATCTCTACATTCAAAATAAATAAAAGTTCAATTCAAGAACTGAAGTAGAGCAAATGTTTTTTATTCGTTTCAATTTATTCTCAGTCAATAACTGAATTTAAATTTGCACTTAAATCGAGGAGTTGCATTTCAGACTGCAAAGTACTGATTCCTCGATTGTAGTCAATTGGTCATTTGAAGTAATTCACGTTTAAATCAATACCCATATAGGGCTTCATTGAAGAAGATGCCATCAGGTCTGTAAGCTCACGCATGAATAAGAAGACAAACAAAACCAGAATGGATCGGCATGCCAGCACATTCCGTCTGGCTTTCCTGCTCCTGGCCACAGGTGAGATTGCCCACCATCCAGAAAAGGTGTTTGAAAATCAAAGAAATTCGCTTATCCACAGTTGCGCTGGGAAATGGCCAAAGCAGTCAGCTCACCGTCGATTCCCATGACATCACCGTTCTCCTGAATACAAACGAGACGTTCGTGGTGTTCGCCACGTGAGTTGTTAAGTTGCAAGGAAATCAAAGCGATATCGAACCAGTCTTCTAATATTTCAGCGATTTATTAACCACCGATGTGGAAGTGAAGCTGCGCACGGATTCCCCTACCCACTTGAGTCTGGATCCTGCGTCATTCTTTTATCCAGCCGGCAGTACCCAGAATCAGTCGGTGGTGATAACTGGCCTGAGTGCCGGCTATGTGAATGTGTTCGCCGATAACGATGTTGCAGACAGTGAGATGTGAGTAATTTCTTTGAATAAAAAGATATTAATGTATTCTTTAATTACATATAATTGGTTGAGTAACTAAATATAACTTTAAGCGGCAAATATCGACAAAGAACTCATTCTATTTTACGATTTTACCAGCGTACAGGATGTCTTTGTGCGAGTGACAGTGGCCAAATCACGGGCTATAATATACACATCGCTCGTGTTTGGATGGGTGTACTTTGTGGCCTGGTCGGTGTCCTTTTATCCGCAGATCTGGATCAACTTCCGCCGCAAGTCGGTGGAGGGTCTTAACTTCGATTTCGTGACCCTGAATATCGTGGGCTTCACTCTGTACAGTATGTTTAACTGCGGCCTATACTTCATTAAGGATCTGCAGGACGAGTACCAAGTGCGACATCCTCTTGGCGTGAATCCCGTGATGCTCAATGATGTGGTATTCTCCCTACATGCCATGTTTGCCACCATCATTACGATCCTCCAGTGCTTTTTCTATCAGGTAATAATAATGGATAAATAATTGTTTCGAAAGTAAATTGGGAATTTTTTACCCATTAAACCTAGAACATTCTTATCAACAAAGTGACAACAATTATCCAATTGAACTGCCATTAAGTACTAAAACGTAAATGGGCTTTAATCAAAAATAGCTATTAAAATGAATCACATTCAGTTTAGGTGGTGTGATAAGGTATACAAATTGTGAAACTATTTTTGTTTCTATATATTCATTAAGTACATGGTTTTCTTTATTTTCTACAGAGGGCCCAGCAAAGAGTGTCGTTTATTGCATATGGAATCCTAGGAATATTTGCCGTCGTCGTGATCGTTTCCGCTGGTTTGGCCGGAGGATCAGTCATCCACTGGTTGGACTTCCTGTACTACTGCAGCTACGTGAAGCTGACCATCACCATCATTAAGTACGTACCACAGGCTCTGATGAACTACCGAAGGAAGAGCACTTCCGGCTGGAGCATCGGCAACATCCTGCTGGACTTCACGGGCGGTACTCTTAGTATGCTGCAGATGATCCTGAATGCCCACAACTATGACGACTGGAAGTCCATATTCGGGGATCCCACCAAGTTCGGACTGGGTCTGTTTTCAGTGCTCTTCGACATTTTCTTCATGCTGCAGCATTATGTGTTTTACAGGTAAACAAGAGTACATTTAAATGCTCTGAAAATGAGAGAGAACAATTAATATTTTAATTGAAAAAAGGAAGACATGCTTAAAAACTTTTAAGATCAAATGTACATTTTTTGTAGGCTGTACAGAACGCCATATTGAAGATTTTCCTAAACTGTAAGCTCAACATATCTCAAGGGTTCATCGAATATTTATGACTTTATCTTGTTCCTCTTGAACTTAACTTTCGTTGAGAACTTTTTTAATGACAATCATTTAATACTACTTAATACTACTTTTCAAATTACTCGAATTATATTTTTAAGATCGATTAATTTTTAATATTTGTTCTTTAATGAAGAAAGTGTGTCTATTGTATGATACTTAACCCGAAATCATTTCCATCACCACTGTACACTTATCATTACTGTGCTGTTTTTCATTTCTCCCCAGGCATTCCCGAAAAACCTCGAGTTCTGATCTCACCACCGAGACAGAAGCCCAGAATCGATCAAATGAATCGCCGAGCGATGTGACGACTGAGAAATATTAACGCATTGATATGTGTGCAGTACAACCCTTTGTGCCAATAGCGACTTTTTGTACATTTTAGAATTGTAAATATATTTGTACGCCTTAGCTGCATAAGCTTTATATAAACTGCGGCTTTTAATTGTTATATTTTGGATTAAAATTGGGATTGAGTCGTAAAAAAAACTAAAGATATTTTTTTAATTTTAGAAACAGAAACTCCTACGGAAGATTAACCAACCATTCGAAAGGATATGTAGTGAAATCATTTGTCTTGATGTGGCACACAATGTGCAAACCAATAAAAGACTTTGACTTTTAAAAGATATTTAAATTTGGCGGGTCAATGGGCAGCATTGCTTATTCAGGGGAAAACTTTTAATCGATAAGTCAATCGATAGGCATGGATAAGCTGGCAACCCTGCCACCTGCCATAGTAATAGCCAATTTTGTAAACTGTGACAGCCCTAAACGCACGCCAACTTTGTATACAAATGCAAGTGCTGAAATAAAGTTTTCTTAAATCCGCAGCCATGTCGCTCAAGAAAACCTCGTCAATTAGCATGACTATTAACCAGTAAGAGGCGCTACGACTCTAACAATTACCAAATCATAAGGCGTCACTCTCTTTTTTGCAGAAACACTTCGTTTGTTTCGCGTACCAATAGTCAGACTTTCATGCTTGAATCTTTCGAGGAATTACTGGATTTGTATCCTCTTGTAAGCAATGAGCTATTGGCGATTCCACCAGTGAGGTCCTCCAGCAGTGGTGGTTCCAATTTGCTGCAAAGTTTAATGGCCAGCGGATGTTCGCAACTAATGACGCAGGAGCTCCCAACACCCGACGGATCCTATCTCAACAATAACTTGCAGCTTGCTAGCAATTCTGGAACCCTGGCCAATAATAATTCCATTTCCAAAACATCTTTCAAAGTCATAAAAAAGTGGTGAGCAATTTCAAAACAACGCGCCCGCTGCGATAAGTATCGGTTGGAGCGGTTGTTCGCGTTTTACGGTGAATGGCAGAATCCGTGGTCGTCAGTGGCTGTAAATTTGGTAGTTTTTAGGAATCTATAACATTTACCCTACCCCCTACGTGATCGGTTGATCAGATATAGCTGCCCGGAATGTATATATCCCAGCCCATGTCATGGCACAAAGTCAGGTACAACCAATCTAAAGAAATCGGGGAAAACGTAACCATGCATGTTGCTACACGCTTGTACTTGCTCTATTGAGGCGGCTAACTTGTTTGTGTTTGTTCGTCCAGCTAAGTCGCAATTTCGGCATTAACTTTAATTTTTATTTCACATCGCAGCACAGATTCCGAGGATGAAATCCAGGTGACCAACGAAGCATCCTTGGGATCGGCCGATTCCACGGTGGAGGATGTGCCGGCGGATATTGATCAGGCGGTGGTGGGAACAGCTGAACTGTGGGTACCAGAGCAAAGGTGGTTTCTTCACTTTCATTTTTTCATTTTTTTCATTTTCATTTTTTATCCTTCCAGGACTACTGAGCCCATGGCGTTTCTGCAGGGATTAAACGTGAGTGACTCCTCATTAACAAACCATAACTTACTAACTTTATTAATATTTTCCTTTCACAGTCCGAGAATCTGATGCAGTTCAGCCAGGTGGGTAACATCCTTAAGTTAGAGCTTCTTAAAACGCTGCGTCAGATCAGCCTGGACAAGGATCAGCAGGAAACTGGCCACCGCCGAGAAAACGTTGCTGATCAGACGCATGTCCATCTCGTATAAGCCCAAGGGTTTAATCTGGAACTTGGTCACAGTGATCAGCAGGGTGAAGCCATGGACTGCCTTGCGATAGCGAGAATCTGCATGCCGGAGATTCATCTCCTGGAGAATGACCGCCGATCTCCGGGTGGCCACCAACAGGTGGTTGCACAAGTGCGTCAGCATCGTGATCTCCGCCAGCGAAATGAGCAGAAAAACCAAGTTGATTAACGATCCCAGGCCATCGTACGGCTTGCCCATGATTAAGGTATCCGCTATGGCGTAGTACAGACTGTAGAAACCCACTGTGATCCCGAGGAGGTGGCAGATGAGCGACAGGATCATGGACAAGGCCATAGGAGTCAGATACTTCCCGGAATGCACATATATCAACTTATAGCGATGCTCTAGCTTCTCCAATTCATCGGCCATGGAGCAAAATCGTTGCATTCGGTAGTATTTAGTGTACAGCTTTAGCTGATCCTTTTGCTGCAGCAAGTTCACCTCCTGCAATTGTGATTCCAGCCTAGCATTGAGGGCATAGAGCATTTCCTTCACCACAACCATTGCTCCAAAATAGCAGTTATTTAGCAGGTTCGAAATCATTAAGGGAAACAGCTTGTACACGGTCCAGATCAAACTCATCTCTGGATGTTGTCGCCTCTGCTGCAGTATAAAGGCCACCTCCACGGTCAAAGGAAACATAAGTGTCTTGACCAAGGCAAAAGCGATGGATTTGTACAGTGACTTGCTGTCGAGACGGAGTGATTTCAGGGTATCGAAAAAAGGCACTCTGCTCATCATCTTGGCCACATGGTCACTGATAATCATCTGGGTTACATAGTTTATAACAGCCACCGTAATGTTCATGTAACTGTACAGCGTGATGGCGTCCTTCAGATTAATTTGATCCTGTCTGTAGTCCTTGTAGATCTGACGTCCATAAACCAAGCTGAATGAAATGGTCCAAAGCAAGGCGTAAGCCAGATATGCTTTCGAGAAGCGGAATCTTTCACGGCGGCCTGGGCGATAGCGATTTGCCAGAAGTCCAAAGGCGGTCATTAAGACTATCAGCGTGATCGTCAGCAATTTCACCATACGCCGATGCGCGTAATCGCTGGTCAAGTTCATTTTTCAGGAACAATGGATACAGACTGTGGCTGAATTTTCCACAGAAAATCCATTAATGACTGCTTAATTGTTTTCCAACTATCCAACTGATGCCATCTAAAGGACCTGTCAGTTTGGCCGACACTATCTGGACACATCGGGTTACGCTTGTTGTACGCTGGCCGTTTAAAAACAAACTGAGCATGCGTTGCGTTGGCAAAAAAAAAAGCAGAAAAAGCGAGCGGCAAGCGACATTCCCCATATGACTCAGCAGTTGCCTGCAATTTCATAAGAGCCACATGACGTCAAATACGCTCAGTTAATTTGAGTAAGAGAACCGAGAACAGCACATACTTATCTAGACGATTAGGAAGGAACTCTCCTACTTGTCGTCACCAGTCAGTGAAAATTTCAAGCACTTGTGAAAGATTGAAAAAAATCAAATCAACAGCTCATTTGTCTTTCGAGCAAGCAACGACATGAAGCTCTATCAGCTTTACGAGCGCAAAGTGGGATCTCTTAAGTAGGTCCGGATTGAGTTACCATTAAAATAATGCCCTGCTTATCTTTTCAGCAATCCGTGCTGCGGGAGATGATGCTGCAGGATCTGCAGAGCCAGGTGAACACGTTGCCCAAGCTGGAGAATCACAACATCGGTGGCTATAATTTCAGCATGGTTCTAGACGAGCCGCCAAAGTCGCACTGGATGTTCTCGGTGAAGCTAAACAAGCTCTACATTCGCATGGACAAGACCTTCAACGTGGACGTTCAGTTCAAGGCGAAGATGCCCATACAGCCACTCAATCTACGTGTGTTTCTCTGCTTCTCCAAAGATGTCAGCGGACCTGTGCTGCGATGCCAAAATCACCTCAGCGTGGAGCCCGGTAAGTGCATGTACTATCCGATAGCGATCTTTAACTTTCTTTTATACAAACCTTTAGTGACCAGTCAAAACATAAAGGTGCGCGAAAGCTTGCTGCGCTGTGAGAATCCCAATAGCATGTACTGCGGAACTGCTCAGGGCAAGGGCATTTCGGAACGTTATTCCGTGCTGATTCCCCTGAACATGTGTCGATCTGGCAACCGGAGCGGTGGCTACGTACGCCAAACCCTGGCCTTCAAGTTTGTCTGCCAAAATTCTTGTATTGGCCGAAAGGAAACCTGCTTGGTATTTTGTCTGGAGAACACAAGGTTAGATTGGAGTGGGGAATTGATCTCTATCCAATGCTGCTTTTATAAAGTAATCTTAACTACTTTCATTAACATGTTTTTCCTCTTGCAGTGGCGATATTGTGGGACAGCAGGTTATGGAAGTCAAAATCTGCACGTGCCCAAAACGTGACCGTAACCAAGACGAACGCCAAATGAATGGTGGCAAGAAACGCAAGTCCGTAGCGGCCGACGCCACGGATGAAGATGAGCCGGATGTAAAACCTTCAAAGTTGCGTCGGCGCACAGGGTCGTATAAGAATGATATAAAGAAGGAGGAGACCGAGAGCAATGACAGCCACGAGGTGGAGACCATCACAGATTGGAAAGTGTCATATAATAATGGCGAGTACAGTTTGGCCATTACCTGCCCCAAAAAGGAATGCCTACTGCAGAGCATTGAGGGCATGATCAAGGAGGCGGCTGCAGAAGTGCTCAGAAATCCAGACCATGAGGGTTTACGTCGACATGCCAAGAAGCTGTTGGCACTCAAGAGTAAGTAAACTAACTGGTAGATCAACAAATGCAATTGTACTTACCGGACTTTCTTTACAGATTGTGCCTATAAGCTGCCTTGACGTTTGAGTTTTTTTTACTTTTTTTATAACTCTATTCTTAGAATTATCAGACACCTTTGAAAAGTGTTGCAACTGTGAGGTATAGTTATAAATCTCTTAAGTTTGTATTAATCTCTGTTTGTTAGGCGTTCAAAAGTGATATTCCCATGGTATGTGTGCATAAGCCAAAATGAAAACAGTTTCATATTTTTGATAACATTATACTGCTGTTAATTAAAATTAAGAAAGGAAAACAAAGTTATGTGTTACACAAAGAATGAATTATCCATACTCTGTACAAATAAGCCAATAGTAAAGTAATTAAAGAGTTGCCATGTTTTTAAAGCAGATCCTCGTGGTGTACGCCAATGCCCAGATCCTACTGTACTCCTGCTGCAAAGCGCATGCTATGTGACATGTGTGTGGCTTGTGTGCGGTCAATGCTCTCGGGATTCATCTCAGCTAGTCTGCTAATATGTCAAAATCGCTGGGCTGCATTTACATATTTTATTTATACCCGTATCTGCGCGTCTTTGGTTTTAGTTCTATGCTTAAAAAAACAACCTCAAGCAGGGCGCATGCGTTCGCCAACGTTGCACATGTGCGAGGATGCAAAAAGAGATAGCAAAAAATAAAAAACACCAGATGTTGACACTGCGCCGCAGCTGCAGGCGACTTTAGCTTTTGCCACATGCTGCAGCTAAATGTTTACTCTAGCACACCGATCGCTGTTCATTGACCTAGGGCAGGGCATTAAGTATGCTTTAATTGTAACGGAATGGGGGCCACCGTGGCCATAATGCAGAAAAAGCGGATGTATCGACTTCCATTTGGGGCCTTTCCTTTTTCGCCTGGCTGGTCTACCAGTTTGGCACCTCGAAAATGGGTCGACTAAAAAACGCTCAACGACCGGACCGAGTCACTCAATTCTCGTTGGGTGAGTGCCAAACGAAGTGGTTTTTTGTTTCATTTTGAGTTCACTTGAGGTCTGTTTTTACAGGGAACAAATATAAACTTAAGTCGTGATAAAAACGTAAATAATTCCAGAAATAAAAATTAAAAGCTTACCAAAACTTAACAATTTTATATTGAACAAATGTTTAACTTATTTTAATAAATTTCTACAACATATGTAATTTAATTCAAATTGATCAATGATGTAAAAAATGCAACAACAACAAAACGGAAAAAAAAGTAGTAATGGTGTTTGAAAACTAGCTTTTGAAGTGATTAATGTAATACATTTCTAAACAATTAAATTATTAGACCTGCTATACTCCCACTGTGAATAAGAAAGTCAAACAATTACTCATTATAATTTTGTAAGCTTGTCATGCTCCAAATATTTCTTAGAACCTTTTTAAAAATTTAAAACTGGCAACGAAATATTTAAAAAAGGCTAATGTTTTTCGTCGTAATTTTCTCCAGAGATGCACTCATCTTAGAAGCCCAATTAAATATTTGAGCATTTTTTGATTGGCTGGTGGCAAAAGGTTGACAATTCGAAAGTAGCGTACAGTGGGTGGCAGTGATTAATCATTTACATTATTATTCAGAAGGGAAGTCAGGTGTGGGAGATAAACAGTAAGCAGTTGTTTATCATTTTAACCAGCTAGATACACCATCTTTACGGGCCAGATAAAGGGAAAGCAAACACGGGAGAGCTCTTATCGGTGCCCATCTTCATCCGCAGTGCCCACTGTGCGCGTGGGGAAAACAATAAAGCCAGAGCCAGCAAACAAAAAAAAAAAACAGAAAGCCAAGACGTCAGGTGAAACGCAGTAACTCCACTCGTTTCCATTGGTTTCCACTCAAAGGTGCTGCTACGCTGCCCACTCAAATCTGAAGTCGTAGATACGAAAACCAGATAACGTTGAGCGCCCGGCGATCTTCACTCAATGGGGAAATACTGCTATAGAGTCGAAAGCTTGTACACGTAGTTTGGCATTCGCATTCGGCTGTTGGCGTTGGCGTTTTTAGTCTGCTGCCTGATCTTCGACGCGTTGCATCTATTTTGGAGTCGCGTGTGCCATATTGTCTTTGACCGCGAAAATTTCTGGGCTAAAAAATACTTATATATATATATCTCCTATATATTAGACATTTGTGAGTGCAAGAAGCTGTGAGTGATGGTGGAAACGGCGACGACAACCACCATAACGCGAACCACTTCTGCGGTGCCGGCGGGTGCAGTAACGGTAACTGGACCCACTGCCCATACGGCCACGCCCACTGCCGCTCAGGTGGCCGCGCAGGCGCATCGCAATGATGAGACCACCCGAGCCATCTTTAACCTGAAAGTCATCCTCTTTCTGCTCTTCCTACCTCTGGTTTTGCTGGCCGTCTTCCTAAAGCATCTCCTGGATTATCTATTTGCTTTGGGTCTCAAGGAGAAGGATGTCAGTGGCAAGGTGGCGCTGGTAAGATCGATTAAAGTGCACTTAGGATTAACTAATGGCTGACATAAGCGTCTGGCAAATGAGCCATTAATAAGGCTAGTCAGATACACATCTAACATGAGTGCGGTACACAGCAAAAATGCAGTTCGTGATCATATCACATATGTGAATATTTTTTTATAGAAATTAATTTTACTTAATCGTCATAAATGCTGTCATAATAGGCTGGGAATAAGAGTACAGGTTACCAGAATAACTTTTTATGTATTTTTCCGATCAATAAATATTATTAAATACATTAAATTTGTATGTTATCAGGTAAAAAATGATAGTTCAAATTATTATTATGTAAATATGTACATACCTTATTTTGTTCTGTGTATCTCTCAAATAGGAGATCTTATATCTAGGGGTCATGCAGCCATCCAGAAACGAGTCGCAACGTCACGCACTTTCCTTTTCCAGTGGCTGCCTCCGGTTTCCACGCCCACCTTTGCCTCACCCACCTTTTTCCCCCTTCCCCCTTCCCCCTTCCCGCTTTTCTTTTCTTTTATTTTCTTCTCTTATTTTGATGTCACTACCATTGGGTGCGGCCGATGGCGATCGCTTAGGATTGTGTTATTAAAGTAAATATTTATGCGTTTGGTACCAGCTGGGCTAGTTGGCCAACTGTTTAGATGGTGTCACGGTCAGCTAATGTGACATCATTTCCATGTAAAGGCAGCAATCAAAGAAAATCTCCAACTGCAATTCGTGCTCATGGCAAGCATATCGCGCTCCATTAATAACATGTGCATCATGGGACGTCTTATTATGGAAAAGTCAATTGTTGGGGCGCCGATGCCACTGGACAAGGTCAAGTGTGTAGGTGACTGGAGAGATGAGGCGATGCTCCATATTGTACAGAACCTGATCGAATTCGGAACCCATTAGCATTCTTTTCAGGTCCTAAACGTGGGCGTGTGCCGGCCATAAGCGTCTCACGTAGCGTATTAATGAATCATCGATTTTTGTTTTAGTCTCAGCTTTTTCGATCGTTCCCTCAGATATCGTTTTCTCAGATACAGATACAAACACAAATACAGATACGTATTTTGCGGTTACACATAGGTGTACTGATTGGGGGGAGGGGGAATTCTCTGCCCAGCTGTGAGAAGCAACTTAATTAGAAGATTGACTTTGGTTGATAAATTCTATTGACATCACTGTTGAGCGATTCGGGGTATTTCAGATAGAAAACCCTCTTCTATAGGGCGCCCCTGCCCAACTGCAAACTGGTTTTCTGTGTCGCTGTATTTATACCAAGATCAACGGAAAGAACGCAAAAATGCAAACCTCAGGAACTTCACTTTTGTTTTCAGCCCGCGCACGATCGCTGACGTTTGTAAACAACAGAGTGTGGAACTTTTGGAGGGCGAAAGTATCTGCGAAACACGCCGGGTATCTCTCAGATGCGTAGATAAAACTTAACTGGTATTGCCGCGACTAATTTGCATATGATATTGAAATTCTTCAGCAATGCTATAACCACAACAAATGCGCAATTGTTGTTGTTATTCTGTTGCTATTCACAAACGTGCCAAACTTTGAATTCTACCCATTCCGGGTTACGTTTTCCACCACCCCCAATGGGGGCTGAGGTCACCCGGTTCGCTTTAATTACGGTCAAAAGTCACTCAATTGTACCCGAGAGGGTCGGCCCACCGAGCGTATGAGTAATGCCATTCATAAGTCGCCGCTGCTGCTCACATAATTGTCCGTAAATGAGGTTTTTGTTCAATGCAAAGTCACATTAGCTGTAGTTGATTGTTTGCAAATTAAGCTAATTAATTTGCTTGAGTATAATGTGAGTAACCTGTGATTTCAACTCAGGTGACCGGCGGAGGCAGCGGCCTGGGTCGCGAGATCTGTTTGGAGCTGGCTCGTCGTGGCTGTAAGTTGGCTGTAGTGGATGTGAACTCCAAGGGATGTTACGAAACGGTGGAGTTGCTCTCGAAGATCCCGAGGTGTGTGGCCAAGGCCTATAAGGTGAGATCCCAAAGCAATCTATGTTGTTTTCTAGTTACTTTATAATATTGTTTATTTCAGAATGATGTCTCTTCGCCACGTGAACTGCAGCTAATGGCCGCCAAGGTGGAGAAGGAACTGGGCCCAGTGGATATTCTGGTCAACAATGCCTCCCTCATGCCCATGACCTCCACTCCCACCCTCAAGAGCGATGAAATCGACACGATTCTGCAGCTCAACCTGGGTTCCTACATTATGGTGAGTTTTTACTTCTTCGCTGCAGAAATTAATCAAGTTACTTTTAGTGCTGACATTTCAAGTAGAAACAGAAAATAAGTTAATAATCAAAATATATTAAAAACTGTTAATGTGTGAATCGTTTGTTACTTTTTGCTAATATTATATTTTGGCTATATTAAATAATTAAATTTTTTTAATTTAGATTGACCCTAATTATCCATAATGCTTTGGTTAATGAATGAAGTCTCTTGTACCCTTCATTTGAATTGAAGGAGTTCATTCGGCTCAAAACATGAAAAATTAATTGATTATAAACAAATCAAAACAATTTAAAAAGCTTAAGAATATGTTAAAAAAACTCTTAAATTAATACCTATCTTAATAAACTATCTTTCTGTGCAGACCACCAAGGAGTTCCTGCCTAAGATGATAACCCGTAAGACTGGTCACCTGGTGGCAGTAAATGCTCTGGCGGGTGAGTTCACTATTTTATAATAACACTACCGTTCTTGATTCATCCTCACATTTACCATGTAGGTCTGGTTCCTCTGCCAGGAGCGGGAATCTACACGGCCACCAAGTACGGAATCGAGGGCTTCATGGAGTCGCTGCGGGCTGAACTGAGGTTGTCCGACTGCGACTACGTTCGCACCACGGTGGCAAATGCCTACCTGATGCGGACCAGCGGGGATCTTCCACTGCTCAGCGATGCGGGGTGAGAGAGGGATAAGTTATATCCTGGTCCCCTGATCTTATCCGAATCCCTATTTCAGCATTGCGAAGAGCTATCCCGGACTGCCCACTCCCTATGTCGCGCAGAAGATTGTCAAGGGCGTGCTGCTGAACGAGCGTATGGTGTACGTGCCAAAAATATTCGCACTCAGTGTGTGGCTGCTCAGGTGAGAATTGAATTAGCCCAGCTATTTGGCCATTATTTCTAACGATTATTACATCCGATTCCCTTCAGATTGCTGCCCACCAAGTGGCAGGATTACATGCTGCTGCGCTTCTACCACTTCGATGTGCGCAGTTCCCACCTGTTCTACTGGAAATAGAAGGAGCAACATCCCACCCCAAAAGCATTTACCCGGGGAGCTCTTGTTTGTTTCCCAATTGCAGTTCTTAATTCAACTGTTGCTTACGCTAGGAGTACATGTTTAGCTATTTATACGAATCTTTAACTTAAATTAAATCTATATTCTAACATTAGAAATATTGGTTGGCCTTCCACGACTACTTCTTTACAAGGCGAAATCTCTCGGAATAGCATTTCTTCTCGGACTGCTGGACACAGGACCTCCGTTCGTGGTGCCAGGTGTAGTTCAAAGGACATCGGTGGAGGAGCTTGGTGCCACTGGAGCAGTAGTAAAAGTAAGCGCAGTTTCGGGGATGTGGCATAAATCCATAAACTCCTGTCTGGCAGTTGGTGATATTCTCTGGTGATTGACGACGGTTACAGGACACGAGATGAGCCGGTGTACAGGCTTTCGCCAGGCCCGCTCCTTCAAAGCACACCATATAGGGATAACAGGGTCCGGCGTTTGGTAAAAGTCGCAGGGTAATGGCCAGTGGTTCCGCCTTCTGAGCTGCAATGGGTGGTTTCTTAACCACCGAAGGCGATTTGGTGGTGCCGACCAGTGGATCCTGACATCTCTTCACCAAAGCCCGATCCACACAGCGGTCCAGCTCCTCATCGTAATAATAACTTGCCAGACACTCAGCCTCAAAAGATCCTGGTCCAGCGCAGTAAATATACTTTGAGCAATTACTGAAGCTCGCCACGTAAATGCCCATTTGTGGGACATTGGCACATTCTTCGAAATCCACGGCAGCGGTTTGGTGACCCATCAAGGTCACCAAAATAATAGTTAACCAGGTTACTGTTTCCATTTCCATGTGACCGAAATGTTGGGATGACTTCTAAAGACTGACTTCATCGTTTATCTCTGATTGTGGGTTGGTAGTATTTTGCATGGTAGCAATCAGGTGGCAACTGATAAAGACGACAAATTTCAGCATCGATTAATAGGTGGATATCGCGCACTAGATACTGCTAATGAGTACGTGGGTGCCATTGCCACGCCCACTCTGGCGGATCTCGTGGTGGGGCGGCAAATTGCGAATTCGTAGCATACTTCCCAGCAGTGGTAGTGGATTTAATGACCTCGCCACACCGCAGCACAATGCTCGACTGTATGGACGGTCCAATAAAAATTGAAAATGCACTCAATACGCAATTAAGTGTCGCCACTTCCGGTGGGACAAACGGACGGCCAACGATACCGGGCAACCAACCCATTCATCGCCATCGTGTCCACGTCATAATCATCATCATCGTCATCATGGTCGTGGCTGGACAGAGTTAAACGCCGGCTATCGATTTATTATCCGATGAGATATTCATAACTTGTAATTAGGTTTGGTTGCTCGGCGCATTTCCATCGCTCGCGATTTACGTAAATGATTGCGCTGCTGATTAATGAAGAATTACCAGGGCAAATGGCTGGGATCTGCGGGCATTATCCAATTCCCCATCTGCCAACCCCACTGCCATTAACATTATATTCAGCGCTGTCATCGGCGGAGTGCAGTGCCAATTGCGCGCAAATTAAAAGTTTTATTAATTGTTAATTAAACGCAGTCGAGTGCCAGTTTCGCGAGCAGCTTTGTGGCATCATTTTCGGCTCAGTACCCGTATCTGGATAACAGGTTATACCGCCCTGTCCATATTCCACGCACCAGATGCCGCTCGGCACACACAATAAAAAAAAGGACCCCATATGGTGCCGACGGCTCAAGTGATTAAGTGCACGACGAGTTCTTCAAATGCATTGCAACATGTGCACAAATAACAACACACACTCCCCGAGAATGGAAATTCTAATTACGATTGTGGAAGAAGACCCCCAGCACCTGATTCCTCTGCTCCCGCGGCACTCAGTACTCCGTACTCAGATCTCAATATTCACTTCTCAATGCGCAGGCGCAGCCCCGCCGCCGATCCATAAAAATAGCTCACTAATTATTTGTGTGCTAGGGTTACAGTTCTCATAAAAAACAAACAAACTGTCGGCCGGTTTATGGATCTTCTGCCGGCTTTAATGCCCCCGCGAAGTTTTCGATCCCAATTCGATTCGTCACAGAAAAACCTGATACTTATCTTCTCCTTTCAACATTGTATGATTGCACGATTTTTCTAAAAGGTATCATTATAATATTATATCTAAGTATCCGTTTTAACAATATATTTACTGGCTCCTCCAAGTAGAAAAGGGGCAATATAAACACCTTAATAATAATAACAGGACACCAACAAATAACAAATATGGAAAGTGATAAACCAAGAAATAAAATTATTTTTTTGACCATTTCATAAGTGGTAAAAAGTTAAATAGAAATATTTTAATGATTAAACAGAAATGCTTTATAGATTCTTTGTTTTTTCCAGCACGAAATAAAATGAGTTTCTTTAAATTCCTCGAATTTTTTCCAATGAACATTTTCCCGCCTACTACCTAGAATCTCCGCATCCATCGTGTGCACTCTGCAGCTGAGTTCCCAACCTGATTATCCGCCGAATCTCCAAGAGAACGTGATCCGTCCGCTCCTCCAGGCGATCAAGGGCGGAGTTCAGGGCGTCCAGGCTCGAGTTGACCCTTGCCATCAGGCGCTCCGAGTTGATGGTCAGGTCCATGAGGTCATCGTAGCTGCTGACCTGATGACTCGCCCCCGAAATTCGGTCCAGCTCAAGCTGCAGCTGCTCCTCGCTGCTTTCCATCAGGTCTTTTAGGACAGGAAAACAGTGACTGTAATTTTGGTTCACCCTAGATGCTGACATACATTTTTTTGGGGCTCTTTTTTGGTCTGTCTGATTGGAAGTGTTTTGCAAATTTGTCTTTGTTTTAAATTCTTACTATGACTTATTAAAGAGCATGAACAAATTCAAAATGAAATAATTTACCTTCCATGTAAGTTTATGGCCATTCTAGATAATTTTGTTTCGTCGTTGCTTTTGCAAAAGCTTAATTAATTTAATTGAAATTGCAACTAACTGACTTTGGGCACTTTTGCTTTTAAATAAACAGTAAATTTGAAATGTGAAAGTGTACTTTATTTTACCGAAGGTACCTGTAATTTGTGGCTCAAGGGGTATATTATGAAGGTGATTCAGAATAAATCATTTACAGTACTCTTCTATTAATGGCTTAATTTAACTCGATGTCATATTTTGTTATTTATTACATATCTTAACATGTGAAGCAGGTATACTTAAACAAAAGGATAGTTGAATCCATTGAGAAATTAACTATTTTTACAAATTTACGATTATATAATATTAAGTTAAAATGTGGAACCCCAGAAGTTGATAATGATAGTTTTACTAATTGCCTGCAAATATAGGATACTTGATAGTCTATTCCCTCCATTGAGCGTTTGTTTGTTTTGCTTTGTTTGTAATGGGCAACCTATTACAAAAGCTACACTCGTTCATTTCATTAAATCCATTTACAAAATGGCTTTGTCCATTATTTATACATATCAATTATAAATTGTGCCTGCAATATTCATATTCACTTGTCAAAATGTCAACTCAAAATAGAATATTTATGCATTTTTATGTGTGCGTATCGGGGCATGATTTGTTTGTTTTATGCTCTCTTTTCGAGAACTCTTTGTTGGAATTGGGATTGGGATCAAGTAAAAAAGCCAGAAAAGAGGAAAATGACAGTTCAACCTATAAATACGCGACGGCAACCGAAGTTGAAATCAATTTTTTTGGCCCCATACTGCGGTGGTCGCGTTCCCGCTCTCCGTTTTCTGAAAAAAGGGGGGAAATCGAGTGGCACTGTAGTGCGACTATTTAGTTAGCCACAGAACAAGGTGCCTCAATTTATTTTTAATTGAAAGCAAATTGAGCCAATCGCCAATGGCCGATGGAAGTGGGGAAGTGCCCGGCTGCGGTTGTTCAACGATGTGGTCTCTTTGAAGATGAGGAGATGAGGCTTCTGCCGCACAGTTCCTGTTTCTTTTGCCCGGCTTACGCATTTTCACATAATGAATTTTCATTCAAAGTGACTGCAACTGCAGCAAGGATGTGTCGACACTCGAACACATATGGACAGCAGTCCGGCGCTGAAGTGATGCACTTCCTGCCAGACTTACAGGCCATTAACCGACCTGTTCTTGGCCACAAAAAGGATGCCTTTGCCTCTGCCTCTGATGACGTTTTCTTTGTGGCTGGCTAAAATCTGTTATTATTGTCATTAAGCAGGCTTTTGTTGTCACCGCTCTGGCCCACATATGCATTGTCCTTACCGACATCCTTCACTTCGAGCTGTTTGCCTGGTTTTTCATGGTTCTGCTTGGATCTGTTCTTGAGGCTGTCATCGGTTGGTTATTGAATTTTCCACACAGTTTACCAGCCCTAAATCCAAGGCTCAACTGGTTGTAGCCCATTTTCAATCCATTTTGGTTTCTGGTCATCGTCATTAGTTGAAAGCGCTTAGTTTGCTTCATTTGTTTGCTGAAAGTTTCATTGTTGCTATTGCTTTTGCTCCGGTTTCTGTTTCTGTTGTTGCATTAACCCAGCCATGCTGTTGTTGTCATCAAGTTGGGTTTTTACATTGTTTCGCCTAAATAAAGGCATATAATTTATGTGTGTGGCCTTTAACAAGGGCAGTAGTGGTAGAGGTCCTGTACGTTGTGCATACGCCACGTTGTACCCGCCCTCCAAAATGGCATCTGAGTGAGTCGAGGAGAATACTGAGTGAGCTGCTCCATTGTGGTTCATAAACTTTGTCACGGTGTTTCCCTCGTTCCGGAGGTCATCCTGCTGGGGGATCCTGCTCTGGAGGCGATTGCTCAGGCAGGACATGTGTGCCCCGCCTCGTTGCGTGTTATTGTTTTCCAACTTTTCACTTTGGTTATGAGATGTCCGAGCGCCGCAGTCAGTTGCAGCCTCGCCTCCATCAGCGTCGCCTCCATTCCGCTGACCACAGTGGACAACGTGGACTTTTTGGCCAAGCTGGTCATGTTCGTGTCCCTAAGAGAGCACACTAAGAGAAAACGTTATTTCAATGTTTAAATAAAAATCATACAAATGGTGTGAATAATCCCTATTAAGTTTAGGCCAAGAGTTTGTGAGGATGGCAACACTTAAAAAAAAAGGCTCAAAGAAAAATATTCATAACTTACTATACTTAATGTATCTAAGCATCTATATCCTATATATTTTTAGGACTTTAAGACTATTTTTCAAAGCTTAATTAGTTTAAAAATACCCAACGTTCCAAACCAAAAAGGTTTAATATCTTTAAATTTTACGAAATGTGTATTTTCCTATCAGGAACTTTATTTATGTTTCTTAATCTCTGGTTTTTCCGCAGTGGAAGGACGTGTGTGCTTGTGAGAGCTGTTATGCTTATATCCTGCGGCTTAAGCATTTGTTGTTATACAACGTTTCAGTCTGTTTGCCAAGTAAATAAAAGCTGTTAACTAGTTTTCACACACCGAGTCGAAAAGGTGGAGGGGGTTTGGTTTGGTTTGGCTTGGTTCGGTTTTCCGAGGCGAGCTGCAACACGTGCTGGACAATTTTTTGCTCGGCTTGTCCTGTTTTTGTTCTAACTGCTTTTGTGCGTAGCACTCGTGTATGAGCAATTATTTAATGCCGTCCGCTTGTCATTGTTGTCTTTTGGGCCAGAGTTTTGCCATTGTCTTGGCCCCAGTCAGCCAAGTCAGCTGCAGCCGTCTTGTCTGCCCCTTTTGTGTCGCTCATTTATTTGTGTTTATCCTTTCGCTTTTAATTGCGGCTCCGTCCTGCTCCTGCTCCAGCTCCTTCTACTGCTCCTTCCTGCCGCCACCCACTCACCGCCCTTTGTGTAATTACAAGTGTTTGTTGTGTAAATAATAGCGTTAGCCGCCTGGGCCGAGGACCATCGTTGACGCATCGTTTGCATGCTCAGTTAATGCCGTGCATCAGGACATCCTCCATTGTCCTTTCCCTCTGCTGCTGTCCCTGCTCTCTCTCTCTCTCTCTCTCCATCTTTGTCTGTGTGTTTATCTGTGTGTGCAAATGCGTCTGTCTGTGGCACGGAAAATTAATTACAAGAATTAAGCAGCGCAACGCCCGATCTGCCGCATTGACACAGGTGTTGGCCGCCCGCTGTAACGTATTTTCCTTAGATAATTCCCATAGAACTCGACAGCCATGTGCTGCACCTTGAACTCGAAACTCAGACTAAGACTAGTGCTGCACTGAACAAAATTTTAAAGTTACCTGACAAATGTTTAAATCTATTAAGTTCATTAAAGGGAGAACCCGATTTTACATTTCTGAAAATCAATTCTATATTTTAAATTTGAGACTCAGAATAAAAGAAAACTTTATTTTAATACATGAATATCTGTACATTAATTTGACATTTTAGAAATCAATACTTACAAATTTTAGCTAAAATCTTGTTTTGAATTGCAAGTAATTACAAATTTATCCCTGTTTAAAATTATAACTGCGTAAGAAATATGATGAAAATAATCAAATATTATTATTTGGTAAGATATATTTTCAATAAAAATACAAAAAATAATATGCGATTGGTTATTTTTTTTATTTTTCTGTGTGAACCTCGAGGGAGCTGTGAAGGCGGGACATTAATTCATTCACCTAGAGACACTTACATGTGGTGCCCATTAGCCCAGTGCCACGCCCCCGTGAAAGGCAAATGCCAGCGAACCATGCGACGCCAAAAATTTCCATTTCGTTGCTTGAACCGTGCATAAATATGTCAATAAGGATTATCCCATCCCGGTCGGCAATAAAATCTTCAGGAGCATTAAAAAAAAAGGGAAAAGAAAATGGGGAACGAGTGGCAGGCAGGAAAACCTCAGCTAAACAAACAGCAACGGGAGCGGGAGCTGCAACTTGATTATCCTGGCAACCTGCCGCGCATTTTCCGACTGTTGAATTATGACATGCAACTGTCAGTGCGGGTTCAAGTGGATTTTGGCTGCACTGCGACGACTATGAGGATGCATGCTCCTGGCAGGCGTGAGAATGCGTTATCCTTGCACCTAAACAAACACATTCGAGGCCGGGATGCAGTAGCTGTTGCTGGTGAGTCCTGGCCGCGGTGTCATGTTGCAGAATGTTTTCGATCCTCCCGATTCTTACGCATTACACGACCAGCTAATTTATTTACTTTACTGGCTGTGTAGGTTGTAGGTACTTGTTGCATCCGTCTAAACTGAAACACATGTTCAAGGACCATAATCGAAATGGCCTGTTATCCGTGCTGTCTCATTATGTCCTGTGTTTGCTGCTGTTTCTGCTGACGCGGTAGCACTTCAGATTGGTGTTGACAGTCGCGCTGAGAAATTGCCTCGCCTTTCCCCTTTACTTTTTTTTGGCTCTTGTCTTTTACAAGATTCCTAAGCTCTGAGTGCCCGACATGCTAATGTGATATATTACAAAACTAATGGAAAAAACGGATAAGGCATAGCGATTAACGCGTTTGAGCACTCAAACTCCGCTCTACACTTTTTATTTTCGTCCGACAGCTGCGTCCCGGCAATCCAATCCTCTCCTGCCTTCGGTTTATCCTTTGCCGTGGGAAACCTTGGAGCTCTGGCTTAACCACCAGTAATCCTTTACCTTAAGTACTTTACAAATTTGTTCTGGCGCTGGCGAAATACCAGTGCAATCAACTGGGAATTTTTTTATTCTACTTTAGTTATTTTTAAAGGTAAAAAAAAATTTTTTTTTAATATTTTTATTTTTTAAGTAATAATAATTTCACCTTTTTGATAAATATTATGATATTTGAATATCTGAATAAAAAATATGAAATGTAGAAAAAATGTATAGTTCTGTTTTTATTGGCAAAATATTGTTTTTGACTTTAAATATTCATTTATTTAAGTATTTTTTTCAATATGTAAGTTTTTTATGACAGACATGTCTAGTTTTTTTGTATTCCAGAGTTGGCAACACTGCTCTTCATTCCTCACTTTACCGCCAGTGTTCTTTGAGTGCCCTTTGAGCTGGAGCTGAAGTGTTTTTGTCAGGATACCGCTGAGTGGCACGGAGTTTTGACAATTAAGGGGGTCACAGCGGGATGCTCGAGTGCTCGAGAATCTTCATTATAGCTTGTGACCGCGGATAAGGTTGGAATTGGAACATTTTCCATAGGAGCCAGCCGGTGCCATGTGCTCCTCCGAATACGCAGACGCCGTGCCCATAAATCATCGGAACCCAATAGCCGCAAAAAAGTCGCATGCAAAGCGCGGCGGCACCACGTGCACAAAGTGTGACCCGATTTTGGCAACATCTAAAAGCGAGCGTTCGCTTAAATAAATACAAAATTGCATCACGTGCAGCAGACTAAAAAAAGGCGATTCCCCAGCCAAGAAGTAGGATTCGTAATTGCGCCAGAAAAGAAGCCAAAGAAGAATTCCAGGCCGCATATGTGTGGCTAAAAAGAAGGGGGTTTCGGTTTTTGGGGTCGTTTTCGTTTTCATTTTCAGTAAACCAAAGCTATTCCACCAGCGATCGACACATGCCCTCGAGTGCGCCAAGTGCAATAAATTGATACAAAAACAAAAGTGTCGCAAGTGTGGGACTGGGGGAGGGGGGTAAGGTCGCGGGGTGGTGGTTAACCTGCTCCGAATGCTGCAGCACCTTGGCCCGGCTAAAACTCTATTAAAATGCCATTGCCAGAGTGGGAGAAGAAAGAGATGAGATGGGTAATATGCATTTTTTGTGCGGAATAACAACTATAAAATACCCTTTAAAAAACGTCTTATTTATTTATTTTGTTAAAATATACATACATTTTTGATAATTTAGAATTTAGAAGAATCTCAACAACTTTAACTAATAAAGAACTTTAAAGAAATGCGAGTGACTTAATAAAGTTGTTTAAAAAAATATAAAATAATCTACATCAAAAATAAAATGAAATAAATCGTTTAGCTTAAAATGAATTAAATGCATTCATCTACAATATTATCACCTTACGGCAGCCATAAATATAATAAATATTTTTTTTAAACAACTCGATTGAGAATATTTTCATTTGTCTGCAAATTAATAACAAGTTGTATCAAGCAGCTTAAGCACCCAACAAAAAACTTAACATGAAATATACATATTTCACGAATCTCGTTTTTGTCGTTCGCTCTTTGTTATTTTTAACTAAAACCACAGCCGGCAATCGCCCTGTCCCACTCTATTCTCCCCGCTGCCCACCCCTTTCCCCAACACATAAAATTATCCTTTGGCTGCCTATATTCTTTTTTTCCCATATCTATGTATGTATATGTGCTGGTGCTCCGATTTTTTTGTCTCTGCTCGTTTTCGTTTATGGATATCCACTTTATTGTCAGAAAATCATTTTTTCGTTGGCATCTCTTGATGTTTTTTTCGTTTTGTTTTTATTGAGCTGGAGCACAGAATGTTTGTGTAAAGTATATATGTTTGAATGCTCATGCATATGTAGCGCTTGTACATTTGTAGTTCACAAAAAATTGCTTTTATTTATTACTAATGGGCTGGGTTCGGGCTGTGATTGTTGTTGTTGCTGTTGCTGTTGCTGCTGTGTGCCCATATTGAACATTACTTACCGCGGCCGCGACTGTCTCATCTGTGCAGGAGGTGACTTTTCTATTTATTTGCTGACAATGCCGGCTCCCCCTATTTTCCAAGGAGGGTTGGGGCTGTTTTTTGTTTTTATTGGTAAATGGGTTGTCATTTCGGCGCTTGCCACACGTTTGTATTTAATAAATCCGCTCGAAGTCGCGGCTAATTGCCGAACTTTGCTAACCGGGTCAGTGCGAAATCACTCGAATGCAATCTTTACGGTGAGCCAGTTTTCGCCGATCGATCCGCGTTTCACGACTTGAGATTCGCGACTTGCGATTCACAGTGTTTTCGCCACTCTCGCGGCGCGGTCGATACTCCAAACTGTGCGGAAAAATGTCGGAAGTACGAAACGTTTTGGTAAAACTGCAGGCCCTGTTTGCACTGATCGGCTTCGCGGCTCTTACCCCATTGCTTGTTTTGGCCGCAATTCTCGGCCGGCTGATCGCCATACTTTGCTGCTGCTCGCCGCCGAAGAGCATCGAGGGAGAAGTGGCCGTGGTGAGTTTATAGCCAAAATAAAAACAAAACTTTAACCAAAATAAAAACAAACTTTGGACTTACTTGCGCTTTCGACCGTTTCAAGTTACAAAACCGCTTAATGGCGTTCATTAAAGACAAAGTATTACATTACTTTACTTAAGTTTCAGCCTTTTTATTTGAGGAACAATTGAAAACGAGTAAAGAATATTAAAAAAAAAAATAAAAAACATTTTTGAAAATAGATCTATTTAATTTTTTATAGAAATTGACTAAATACCTTTAATACATTGCTGAAATTGCTTCAAGAATTATATGAAGTAAAAAGCACACACATTAATTAAACCTATTTAAAAAAGATTAATGGGCAGAATGCATTTACTTTTAAATGGCAAATGTGTTTGTCGTCTTAATATTTTAATGAAGGTATCGATTTGAATAACCGGTAAAATTACTTGAGTTACGAAACCAAAATTGCTTATAATTTTATGGTTTATGGGGCTAAGATTTTGTTACCCTGAGTTTTGGTGTTTTAATTAAAAGAAGTAAACAACTCCTTCAAAACGATCCTTTAAAAAAAGCACAAACATTCGAATAAAATATTATTATAGAATTTTTATTTAAAAAAGAAATAATAAGTATATTTCATTTATACCCAAGGTTTCTCATGAGATTAATAAGCCCAATTAGCATAGGTATTAGCCCATGACTAATGACACACTAAGTATATTTATCTGTTGTCCCACCTAGGTTACTGGAGGTGGTCATGGTCTGGGTCGTGCTATTTCCCTAGAGCTGGCGAAGAAGGGCTGTAAAGTTGCAGTAGTGGATATCAATTTGTCTGGAGCCGAGAACACCGTCAAGCAAATTCAGGAAACCTATAAAGTCTGTGCCAAGGCATACAAGGTACATTTTTGATGTAGTGTTACTGCCCAGACTGGTTATAACCGGCCAATAATTGCTAATAAAGTAATTTACTTTAATGCAAGCTACAATTATTTTTAAATCCATAGGCAAACGTTACTAGTCACAACGAAATTGTTGAGCTCAATTCAAAAGTGGTCGGAGATCTAGGGTCAGTAACTGTCCTTATAAATAATGCAGGCGTTATGTTACACCGGAATTCATTGGACCCCGAACCCGCAGATTTGCAACTAATGATTGACGTTAATCTAACGTCGCACTTCTGGGTGAGTTCTAATCAACTTAATTTAAGTGTATTTAAATGTTAAAACTATGTCAAATGTTAAAAAACTATGCAAAAGTAATTATCCTATACATTTGATCTCATCATTGTATTGGGTTGTATCTTTTTTCTATGCGTCGTTTTTAAAGATATTTCGTATATCTCGTTTTCTTTGGAACAATATTGTATTTTTATATGATTTTAAGAAGGTTTTTAGGATGTTTTTAGGATGTTTTAAATCTTACATTCTTTTTTTTTCCTACAGACTAAGATGGTTTTCCTGCCGCCAATGAAGGCGTTGCGCAGGGGTTTCATAGTCACCATTAGTTCGCTGGCAGGTAAGAATGCTGAAAAGCAAAAAAGCATTCAATTTGGAATTATTTGTGAATTGGAATCTCGTTTCAGGTATTTTTCCACTGCCCTACAGTGCTGCTTACACTGCCAGCAAGGCTGGAACTTTGGCTCACATGAGAGCCTTACAAATGGAGCTGGTGCTGGAAAAGCAGAAGGACATTCATGTGACCACTGTACTTCCCAGCTTTCTGCGGACCAACGACGAGGTCACGGAGCTAACGAAAAGTATCGGATTCAACAGCATATACCCCTTGATCAGTGCCGAGGAGGTGGCTCAGCGGGTAGTGGCCGGGATGTTGCGGGGTGAGCATGAGATCACGTTGCCGGGACTGACATCCGTTTTTTACCGGCTGATTTATCTCCTGCCCTCCGACTGGCAGATTCGAATGACTGTACTCTTCACCAAAAATCAGATCAAACGGTTCAGAGAGGTTCGATCCTGACAGAGATGCAATGGAATATAAATAAAACTATACATATGTATATATCCCTGGTTCGGAAAAAAGGAAAACATGTTCTGTACTGCCCGCGGACTTACAAATTGAGGCGCTGCTTAAAAGCGTTTCATTAAAATCCGATTAAAGATACTTTTTGCGGCCGGCTGGTCACGGACAACTGGCCACAGGCTACGGGCTCCAGTCATGTGATTTTCATTTAATTCAACCAGCCAGCCAGCCAGCATTGCTTTAATTCTGGAGCTCCGTCTGGATCCACTTCGTCTGCATTTGTCAGTTGGGGGAGGGGCCCGGAAAACGGGGATGCAATCAACTTGTCAGCGCTCCCACTTTTCCATCCTTGTGCTGAATCTCATTATGCAACTTTTATGGGGTCATTGAGGCTGCGTGATTTATATATTTTTCAAAATTAAAAAAGCTTAACAACTGTTTAAAGAGCCTCGGGAAATTTTGTGCAGCATACTCGTGGGTGCAATGGAAAACTGCAAGCCTTTAGTCTACATCCCATTTGTTGTGATATTCAGGGTTTTTAGAGCGATTCGGTGAAAGTATATGTGAAACATTTTTTTTTCCCACTTCAAACGAAATTTTTGTCTAATAGGGTCGAGTGGGGACCATTAAAAGAGAGTGGCTTGACAGAAAGTATTTTGGTTAAAGTGATTCCTTACAAAAACGGAAGAAAAAAGCTCGTCTTTTTGTTCGCCCGACAGTTTTTCTTTGTTTCTTTATCTTTATGCTGGCGAAATTAATGCAACACATTAAGAGAAATATTGCAACAGTGGCGGCAGCAGCCGAGGACTTTTCCATTTTTCTCATTTTTGCTCAGCGCGAGGCTTACACAGACACAGTCACACAGGCACACAGACTTTATAGCATGAATTTCTTGAATATTTCCACGTTTTGCTCTGCACGCGCTTTTCCCTCATCTTCGGCTTCGTCCTGCTGCTTTTATTTTATTTATGCTATCACTGCAACCTGAAATGCTTTGGCCACACACACTCACTGAGATTCATATAGCTGGATTCAGCAGGATACTGCATTTATGTGAAATTTCTTTCCTGCTGCATCTGCCCTTTCTTTCAGAGCCCAGGACATATGCATGGAAACTTTAGTGAAATTAAGAAAAATATAAAAAGACATTCCAGCAGCAGGAGTGAAAAGAAATGCTTTAGGAAAATGAAAAAATAATGCTACGAAATGCAAAAATAACATCTAGAAATAAGTCAAAGTCCTGCCCCTGCCACTTGCCTCTTTTCCTGAGGGGAAAAAAATCAGCAGAGAAAATATTATGTCAGCAAATCAAATCGATTGTGTGGGAAAGCATTAGCCCAGGAACCAGGGAATCGCTTCGAAGTCTCCCCGTAATTCCCAATTAAAAAGCCGTTAATGATGCGTGGCCCAAAGCGAGACCATCGCAACCCCAAAGGCCCAGACGTGTCGCATGTAACGCCTCAATGGCAGCCTGATTGAAAACTCAAATGTGCGACTCCGATCCGCCCCCGAAGTTGGGGTTTATTGTTTGTCTTTGCCCCTGACGAGCACTTTTTAATTTCGATGGGTTGTCTGCGGACAAACGAGGCATTTCCGCGTCTGATTATCGGGATCCATTGGGATGTATTGATTCTATCTGGGAACTCGGCTGCTGACTTGGGCTTAATTATGAGCTGCGAGTGAAGTGCGTGGGAAATCGAATAGGGTTCCCAAAGGGTGACTGAGTGCTCTGCGTTCGCGTTCACCTGTGGTCGCCATTCGCTCATTTCCATTTGACAATTCCTGACTTGGGTAATCGAGCAGTCAGGTCATCATGTTGGGTGCATTTCCATCACCTGCAATCCGCGAAATGAATTTAATGAAGAGTTGTATGCCCGTGTCAGGTTGTTCACAAAATTTCATTTGCTGTTGCATGTGCATGTCCATTTCTATTTGCATTTCCATTTTCCTCTCCCCGTTTTTCATTTTCAGTAACCTTCGCTTCGCCAAAATGACGAATGTTGACTGCTGGCCGACCAAAAACTAATTAAAAAGCTGACCGGGACACGTTCCATGGCCATTGCCATTGCTAATGTTAACGTTTCTAATTTTGATGATCCATTGATTTTCTACACACAGAAAAAAAATATTTTAATTAACTATTTTTATTATTTTCGTTTATGATAAAGCATTATTAGCTAAAAAACATACGCAACATTTTAATTTCATATTTAAAATAAATACATTCTGCAAAATAACAAAAAACTAATCAACGTTAAAATGATAAATTTGAATTCATATTATTAGAGAATCAAACCACAAGTCCTAAGAGGTATGTCACTTTGAAATCGGATTAAATTTGGTAAAGTTATGGGCTCTGGAAGTCCAGTTGGTGGTCCCCTTTTTACAAATCATCGGAAAACTCAAAAATAACTAACATTAAAATGGGTCAAAAATTGGATCAACGATAAAGCGACAATTTTGAATGCAGATTTTTTGAGAATCGAATCACAAGTCTTTAGAGGTATGCCATTTTGGAATCGGCTTAAGTTCAATTTTGAGTCCCTGTCTTACAAGACATCGGAAAATTAGAAATAACTAACATGAAAATGGGTCAACAATTTGATCAACGTTAAACTGAACATTTTGAATGCAGATTTTTAGGGAATTTAATCATAAGTCTTTAGAGGTATGCCACTTTGAAATCGGAAAAAATTTGGGAAAGATACAGACTCTAGAAGTCCAATTGCTTATATATACTATTACAAAAATGAAATATTCCATAAAACGACTATATTTTTTATGCGTTCATGTTTAAAAACAATGAAATTGCTTAAAGTTTATTTTATATAAGTTGTTTTTCTCTAGGTGTATGCATAGCACCGAATGACAACCAAGTAGGCAGTAATTTTATGGTCCTGCTCCTGCCGGGAAATGTGATACGATTCCGTTCGGGTGCATAAATCACGTGTTTTACTAATTAAACGAAACAGTAAACAACCATCTATGGCCGGTCAAGGTTTTAATGAGTAGACAAAATGCCATTGTAACTGAGGACTTAAAACGCCCACGGGAACTGCGATCATAAAAACGCCCCAATCCAGCATCTGTGCAGGATCCCCGGGCACAATAATCATAAAAATTGCATATTAAAATTCATTCGGGGGGCGTGAACTGCTTCACTTTTTCTTTTTCTTATTATTTTTTTTTATTGTGCGACGCCTTTAAAATGTTTATAAATACAGTCAATTTGCTGTCAACTTTTGAACTTGCCACATGTGTTCGGCTTCGGCTTTCGAGTTGTAAAATGTCAAGGGGTCAACGGCAACGGCTCATTATAATGCAACCGACTAGTCCGAACGGAGTGAGTGACACTCATTCCAGGGAGAGCCCAGAAATCGGTTTGGAATCGAATTATGCTAAAACATATTTGGCTGCTGCGATAGCGGCGACTACTCCGATATGCATGTCAACGCAATCATTTGACATTTTGACAGGATATCGAGGGAATAGACGGGGAATTTTTAGGGATCAGGGTTGGGGGTTGAGGGAGCGTGAGTGCCGCAGGATAGTTCAAGTTGAATGTCGCGCCTGCGCGCCTCAAATTACAAATTAAACAGCGACGATGCACGGTTTTCCATGTCTCTCGGCTAACCTAAATCAAATTACGGCCTGACAAATTTACTTGTTGAATGCGATGGAGGCGAGCGGGAAAAATTATGTGTTTAAACACCTCAACATAAGACATTTTGTTCAGTATTTCTTTAGTGTACAAGAACTTTTGAAATGAAAATGTTTTGTTTGGCATGTGTCCATATTTTCATTTCAGACAATTAAATTGAAGATTGTTTTCATTTAGTGTTATGTCTTTATCTAGAATATTTTTAATAATCTACATAGTAGAAAGATGTTTAAGAGATGGTAACTTAATTATAAATAATTTGGTATAATTTATTTAAAGAAAGTTCTATCCCTTAATTTCCTGGAAAAGATAATAATTCTATTTTGACAGACAATCACAACGCAACCTCAACCCTTCTAGACTTTGCTTTATTTATTTATTTGAAGACAGTCCCAAATCACATTCAAAGCGTACACATGATGTCTGCGATTGGAAATAAACAAAAGCAATAACCATTTCGTAGTTTCCACAACAAGAATTACCCCAGATATGGCCCCAACCCAAATCCGAGCCATTGCCACGTCGGCAGCTCACTTGATGGAGAATGTGGAGTAAATAAACGCGACCATTTGCAGCATTGTCAAGTGGAAAATCATTGACAAATTTATGAACCCACCCGACACACACTCAACAAGAGCAAATACACGAGCAAATGTTTACGTATATATATTCTCGAACCAGAGAGCGGAAAACATAAAGTTAAAAATTTCATTAACAAATCGACACCGCACCGTCTCATTACTTGGCAACAAATAAATTTTATTAAGTACGCTTTATCTTTGTGCGCTTTTATTTACGATTTTTCATTAAAGTCATTTGGCATGCCGCATAATTCCCACCCACCCAAGTTGACCAAACATTCGGATTGCGAGTTTATCCATTAATGTTGCGGCGGATATGTTGCAGTGCGCTAAAAAAATATTACAATTTCATCGAAAAAATGTTTGTACACATGCAGCAGGGCAAGGGTCATTCAGCGATGCTGCGGTAAGCTTTTGCAGCTAATTAATTGGATGGTTTTTAAATAAACACTAGTGAACTCATCCGAATGGCCGGGGAATATGAATCATGCGGGATTTAATTGAAATCGAAACTTGCCCCAGACAAATCATAAATTGGGCGACAGCAGTGCGTGGGCTCAGAAGAAAAAAAAGAAAAAACCCTAAAGTCGGCCCCCCCAAAAAAAAAAAACCCCCCAAAAAAAAAAAAGAGGGGGGGGGAGAAAAAAAAAAAAAAAAATAAAAAAAAAAAAAAAATAAAAAAAAAAAAAAAAAAAAAAAAAAAAAATAAAAAAAAAAAAAAAAAAAAAAAAAAAAAAAAAAAAAAAATTTTAAAAAAAAAAAAAAAAAAAAAAAAAAAAAAAAAAAAAAAAAAATTAAAATAAAAAAAAAAAAAAAAAAAAAAAAAAAAAAAAAAAAAATAAAAAAAAAAAAAAAAAAAAAAAAAAAAAAAAAAAAAAAAAAAAAAATATTAAAAAATAAAAAAACAAAAAAAAAAAAAAAAAAAAAAAAAAAAAAAAAAAAAAAAAAAAAAAAAAAAAAAAAAAAAAAAAAAAAAAAAAAAAAAAAAAAAAAAAAAAAAAAAAAAAAAAAAAAAAAAAAAAAAAAAAAAAAAAAAAAAAAAAAAAAAAATAAAAAAATAAATCTTAAAAATAAAAAAAAATTAAAAAAAAAAAAAAAAAAAAAAAAAAAAAAAAAAAAAATTACCTTAAATCTTGCGAGAATTGATAATCACCCGGGGAAAAAGCGTCTGCTAGCGGAAATGGTCGAGTGTTTTCCCGAAAACTGTCGCGCGTCATCGCCACATCAACTCACATTGGCATCAGATCTATAGGTCTTGGTCAGGCCAGCGATTTGTCTACACTCAGGAAATTTTAGTTCTATGTCATAATTTATTTTGTGAAAGGGAAATTCGTAATAATTTACTTATATTACTTTACTTATATTATTATACAAAATTAAATTATATTACATGAAATTGATCACTACCTCTATTAAAATAATGTGATCGTCAAAACGATTGAAAAGTAATTAAATTAATTTATGAATAAACTTTAATTAGTATTTAAATCTTAATAAATCTAATAAAATTTAAGATTTTTTGTTTCTTTGTTTAGTTTGTTTTGTTTTCTTGACCATCCTGTAAATGATTCTAGTGTATTTTTAATATAAGTTGTTGATTAAAATTTGTCATAATATATACAATTTTTCCCCCAGTGCACTTACGCTGAAAAGTATGGCCAAAATCGACTAATTTTAAGAATGATGTAAGCTGTCGCAATCGTGCGACAACAAAGGCAGTGGTCACACAGTTTTGGCTGCGAGCCCAATATTCTGGCCAGCCCTCCGACCGATTCGCAAATGACGGGCGCGCAAGTGGCAGGAATTGTGTGTTAAACGTTTCTGAATTGACTTGACGCGTTCGGCCCGAGAGCAGAACCTCCGACCAGGGCCAGCTGCCAACCTATGCCAACCATCGTATCCCGTCCCATCCGTCCCCATCCCAAAACCATACCATCCGGGTGAACGTGCGCCAAAACACGACGCTTGCCAAAAATCATAAAAAATATGTGGCGATTATAGGGGAGATGGCATCATTTAATGATGAAGTGCCGCAATGGGCTGGAAAAAGGGAAATGGATGTGAATGTGGATAAAAGGGAACTGACTCATGCTCCGGAAACGTCAGCCACAATGGGCAATGCACTTGAGGACCTAGGACAATACGCCCATGGAGAGGGAACAAATAGTTTTGCGATGGCATTTTTGTGGCGTAAATTAAAAACATATTGTCAGGCATTAGCGGACGAGCTAAAAGTGCTAAAAATAGCGAAAAGAGAGCGGGATTTCGAGATGCACATCAAGATGCACTGGAGCCAGAATGTGTATGTGCTATTTGTCGCACTGGCAAATGAGTTGCCTTAATAAATTTAGCCCATGTATATAGTACAGTACTTACGCCCGCCTGGCGATTCTGTGCAGCAAAAAAAAGGAGAGAAATAAAAGGAATGAAACGAAGAAAATTATGTGGCAATAAAAAATAGTGCTAAAACATTCGACAGCCTAGCTGCAACAACAACCACAAGGGCATCGCAGCATCGCACACTTGCTCACCATATGTGCAACGCCAAGATCGCACAGTGCAACCCCGCTGGAAATGGAAAATGGGCGGGGAAATGGTCGTGGAAATGGGCAGAGGATCCAGCGGATCACAACGGAGCACAGAGACACTGCCACGGTCAAGTGCACTGTGGAAAATGTGAAGGTCCATGGGTTCTAAGAGATGGAAATTATATTGACACTTATGGTGAAATTCAATTAGAGAAGCAGAACCAATTTTAGTTGACTTATTTCCCATGTGAATAAATAAAAATAAAAATGAGGAAAGAGGTCCAGGTCTATATTGTAACTAAAATAAAATTGAGTTAAAAAATATTAAACTAAAATTACTAAAATTAACGTGTCCACCTATTACTGCACTTTGTGACACATTTTATGATGTCACCCCTTTCCGAATTTTTCAGAATTTTATTATGATTTGGATAAAACTCACTTGTTATCTTTATCTTTTTATCTTTATAAAAACTTGTAACAATCATCTGAAAGGTTAAAATAAAAAACAAATATTTCTGCTTTCTTAGTTTTTACGAAAATAAAAAAGTTTGTCAAAAAAATACTATACAATGGTTTTAATTATTTTTAAAAACAATCACTTATGTTTACTTTATTAATTTTCGGTTTGTTGTAATGCTCATGGGATTTCCCATTTTCCACAGGGCACTCGGTACAACTCACGCATAATTTCTATACACAAACATCAGCCTAAAATAACAGTATTAACAAGAACAACAGCCACAGCAGCAGCACTGGGACTAAAACAAGAGAAGTACAACTACACCAAAGATCGGTGAAATCTAGGCAAGGTGTAGGGGGAAGGAGGGGTACACGAAGGCGACGCCGACGGAGGCAGCGGCGGTAGCACATGTGCGTGCCAAAGGCAGGAAAAGCGGGCAGAGGGCGATCTCGCGACGTTGACAGGGACGTCGGCAGCGGCAGAGGCAGGATCCAACGCTCCACGTTCCCGTTCCCTTTCCCTTTCCCGTTCCCGTTAGACATCCCGTTCTCGTTCCGGGCATTTAAATATCGTGCGGCAGCAGCTCTCCGGTTTATTGTCAGCCAGATCGCGGTGGCGTGAACATCGCAAGTGCCAGCCGAAGATTGTTAAACTAGAAACTAGAAACCAGAGAACTCTCGGATTTACGTGTGTGTGCCACAGTGTGTGATTTTCCTGGGATTTCCCGCGTTCGGTGGCCGTTATAAAAAAAAAAAAAAACTAAATTGGCAACCTTCCCAGACAACTGCCGGAAATGCGAAAGTGAAAGCGGTCGGCCAAGAAGAACGGACAGCAAATCACCAGAGACCCGAGAATATAGTATGTCATCCACGCTGAAGACCAGCCAAAGTGGCGGCATGTACGTCAAGACGTCGGAGATTTCGGGCAAGGAGGCGGGCAGCTGCTACGGCGGATTCATGTCGCCCCCGCTGAGTGCCAATATTACGGCAAATAACAGGGAGAGGGACATTTTCCGGGTGCCGGCGAAGGTGGAAGCCGGTGGTCATAGCAACTTTGCCACGGAGGAAATGCAGTTTCCCGACTTTTCACATCTCTGCTTTGCCGCCGAGACGCCGAACTCGGTTTTCGGTGACTGCCATCACACTTATGCCGGGCAGGATCAGCAGCAGGACTCGGATCAGGATGATATAGTCTGCGCTGCGGCGGGAAATACAGGCATGCCTTACCAGCAGGGACAGTACACTCAGCTCAATCGCGAGGACATCTTTCGCTTCGAACCGGAGGACATAGCCCGGCTGACTGGAGAATCGGAGCTGCCCGGGTTACTACAACCACCTCAAACACCATATACCCCGTACACCCCCTACACACCCTATACGCCCTGCAGCGCCCAAAACAGCCAACTTCCCGTGCAGGCGACAAATGACTCTATTAATCTGGATATTGATTACTTTAATTATGACGAGATTAATTGCCAATCGAAAAACCAATCACCGTGCTCATCACCGCACCTCGATGCCTGGCTGAACTTCAATCTTGGCGAGATTTCAGCAGCCGCATCATCGAGTGCCGCCTCGCCAAAGTTGGGCAATGTGTTCGAGGAGCCAGGAGTCAAGGAGGAGGCCTCGCCCACGAAACTTCCGTCGATGAACTCGACCTTCGGCACCCCCAAATGCATTCCCATGTGCGCCAGCAACTACGATGACTACGCCAATCTCTACCAGGGATCAGGGTATGCGTCGGAGAACTACCAGAACAACATGGCCCAGGCCATTGAGAAGCCGAATCGGGAGCACAAGGCCATCTGGACCATCGATGAACTGGATGAACTGATGCTGGGCGAGCAACAGCAATTCTATCAGCACCAGTTGCAGCAGCAGCAGGAGTTGCATCAACTGCAACAACAACAGCAGCAGGAACTGCAGCGGGAACAGGAGCAGCAATCCCAGAGTTGCAAATCCGATATGGTTAACTATTTGGCAGATGACCTTATCAAGGCCGAAGAATTCCGGAACTTGGACAGTGAGGATGATGAGAACTACAACGAGGATGAGGAGGACTTGGACAACGAAGTGTTTGCCCCGTCGGCGGAGTGCAACAACAAGCTGGATTCAGCCTGTTGCGATCCGGAGGCGGAAGCTGAGAGCGAGGCTATCCCACTCATCTGCCGCTGGACGGGATGCGATGAGGAGTTCCCCCACCAGCAGGCCTTCGTGGAGCACATCGAAAAGTGTCATGTGGATGTGCGAAAGGGAGAAGACTTCTCCTGCTTTTGGCTTGATTGTCCCAGACGGTATAAGCCCTTCAATGCCCGCTACAAGCTGCTCATCCACATGCGAGTCCACAGCGGCGAGAAACCCAACAAATGTCCGGTAAGCATTCCAAACGACCCAAAGCTAATCTATTTTAAAGGGGGAACAAACATCTAAGCTAGAGAATCTGTTTTTAAAGTCAAAAACGATTATCAAAGAAAAGGCAGATGTTTCTTAAGAAAGTAGATGCATTAGTTAGTAAAAAAGATAAACCGCATAGGGACTAAGACAATTAAGATAACATAAATAATTATAAAATACAAGATAGAGATTTTCTATAAAGCTTTCCATCTACCACCAATCCTTTTTATAAAAGAAATATAGAAAACATGAACTTGCCTCCGGCGTTCCTAAATTGAGATATATTTTCCACTGTGTTTACCAACCTTTCCAATCCCTCATAGAATATCATTTTTCAAAATCAAACAATAGATATGGATCTTGCCTTTTTGCCGGCCCAGCTGGTACATTTGTTTATGCGTCCAAACAAGATTTTTCTCGGGTAGAACCCATTTTGTGTGTGTTTTAGTTGCCTTTTTGTTTGTATCATGCACGTGTTGACATTTGATGCGCCATCGCTGCGATGATGAATTGTGCGGCGCAGGGCAATCACGGAAATTGACAGGGCGAGAGCTGCGAGTCCGGAGTCCACTTGAAATGGAGTTGCTGGTAATATTATTAGGACGAACACTCGCTACATCTTCTATCCATCGTTGGCATGCTCTTTCATTTTGATTTTTGAGTAATTGATGGATTCTTGCCAGTCCTTTTTTCGATCAAAAAGGCTCGGCCATCATCAACTTGGCTGACCCACTGCTGCCTTTTGCCATTACACATGTTTTCTGTTTCTGTTTCTGTTTCTGTTGCAGAAACGTAATATGCCCTTTCAGGTGGGTGTGCTGGCATGGGAGTGATAGGGGGGAATGGGTTGCCCGTGACACCTGCGGGCAGCAGCATCAACGGCATCTGCTGGGAGGTCCCAATTTTATGCGTCCTTCTGACACTTCTTCCTTTATCCATTTGCCGCTTCTTGCAGCCCCATGGTAATTGCAATTTTCGATGACACCCTTCCTTTTTTGTTTTTCCATTACAGTTCCCTGGCTGCAATAAAGCATTCTCGCGTTTGGAAAATTTGAAAATTCATCAGCGCTCGCACACGGGCGAGCGGCCTTATGGCTGCCAGTATAAAGGTTGCCTCAAAGCGTTCAGCAATAGCTCGGATCGGGCGAAACATCAAAGGACCCACTACGACACGGTGAGTATCCCTATATGCATATGAGTGTGGTGTGGTGAATGGGCTCCAGCAATTTCCAGTGCGTGTCAAAAGGAAATTGAGGAGCTCGCTCGCGGCTGCAGAAGATGCAGCTGGGGCCGCCGAAGAGCGGCTTTAAGATTTAATGGAGGCCAAGGCGCTTAGCCAGTCGCAAAAAAAAAAAAAAAAAGGAGCTACTGTTGCTGCTGCCAGCATGACATGTGCACATTTCGCATTTCGCTGCCTGAGTGATTTATAGTTCTGCGTGTGTGCTGTATCTGTGAGAGCGGGTCCGATGGCCCGATGGCAAAAGTAGCAGCAGCTGGAGTAGGACTAGGAATAGGAATACGAATAGCAACAACGGCAGCCGCGTCAGCGCGTACGACAACCGGAAAAAAGGTCAAAACCAGCTGAAAAGGCCAGCGATTCAGCCAGCAGCAATGGCAACAGCAACAGCAACAGCAACAGCAATAGGAATAGGAATAGCAATAGCAACAACAGCAGCAGGCAAATCGAATAAACTAAACGAGTTACTTTCGTTGCCTAGCTGAAGGGGCAGGGCAGCCAATCAGGATCACAAAAGGATACGATGTGTGCTGGCTTGACGCGGTTACACTCAGAAAAGTGTATTATCGCTTAAATAAGAAAATTGTCGTCCGTTTTCATCACATTTTCATGATAAAATGTATAGCATCATAGAGATAATGTGTCACTGCTTAGTCATAAGAAAACTAAAATTAAAAGAAATTGCTGATTTTATGGGTTTACTAGGAAACGTTCTTATCTTTTTTATTATTTATCTCTTGTGACAGTCAGGTTTTCCAAGAACTTTGTGGAATTTTTTTTTGGCGAGCATTTAACAGATAGAAGTTTGGGCTTGTAGTATTTATTTAATATGTCATCCGTCTCTATTTTTGTCAATAATTTCGATATCAAAAATAGATAGATATTTGGCTTTTTTGTAATGATTTAAAAATAACCAGCCAGAGTTTTAAGTACACACCTTCATGGTTTTTTAAACCATTCCAAATAAGATTTGTAAGATGTTTTTCAAGAGAATTTAGGTTAATAGAGGGTTTCCAAACGAAAGTTGTGTAAGTTTAGAAAAGTGTTTTTTTGAGTGCACTACTGGCATTGCTGTTGTCGCTTTTGGCCCGCGGCTGCTGCCTTGGCAGAATAAACAAAATGCAGCATGACATTTCAAAACGATTTGACTTGGCAAATACGCTGGCCCATCTGTTAGCGGCTGTGTGAGTGTGTGGGTGTGACTGTGGAGTGTGTGTATTGTGTGCGGGTGTGTAAGTGAGTTAGGAGTGCCTGCAGGACGAATGTTAGAAATCAATTGCATAGTTTTAGGCAGCGGCACTGAGCCGCTCCGGTTAGAATCGAATCCAAGGCAAATACTAGGTACTAACGCAACGCTCTACCCTTTCTATTTCGCTCTATTGGAACAGAAACCGTATGCCTGCCAGCTGCCCGGCTGCACGAAGCGCTACACGGATCCCTCCAGCCTTCGCAAACATGTCAAGAACCACGCGCTGCGCAACGCCAACGGACAGCTGCGGCGCAAATCTGCCGGTGGCGCCTCCATTCCACCAGCCGTAGGTCAAAAGAAGGCGGCCAAAACCCGCCGCCACTCCGAGTCGACCCTGGTGCAAGGGGGCGTGGCAGGTGCCGCGGGGGATCAACGCCAGCACCGCAGCAATAGTTGCAGCGAGGCATTGCTGCTGCAGCCCGAAAACGACAGGACAGACCGCAACAATTGCGGCAATGGCGACGGCACCGGTGTTGCAGCTAATAACAATTCAATGAACTTTAATGAGTTGTCAAATTGCATTGTCATCATTGAGCACAATCAGAATGGAGGTCCTGCAGGAGCGACCGCAACGGGAACATATGGCAACGGCAATGGTGCCGCACCGGAAACGGATGCGCTGAGCGTTTGCAGCGGCAGCAGCAACAACAATAATCATTACAATGGAAATATTAATCAATTAAGCGAACTCGAGCAATTGCTGACAGCGGCGAAGCCTTCAGCTCCGCCAGCTGCTAATGGAATTGGCCAGGCCAACAATAACCAGGCCAATGGCGACAGCAAATGCCATTTGAGTGAGTTTGTGTCGTTCGAGTACGTGACTAAGTATCTAGCGGATGTCTACGAACCGCCTGCCAAAAGCCCGCCCCCGGCTAATTTCCATTTGCAGTCTGAGTTCGACAACAACTACGACATGCTGGACTTCGCCCAGTTCATTTGATTAAGGCTAGCTTAAACTATAGATTTGACAAGAGCCCACCTGGAAAAGTCAGCAATTCAATGTCCAAAGATCTCAGTGCCTGAGCCCTTATTAGAATGCCTACCATTAGTAAGACACCACCTCTGTAAATACTAAAGATAAGTAGTAGACTAAGCTTGAAACACGCCACAAAGAAACGTTCCTGAATTTCATTATAATCCAGTGATTAGCCGCGTCTTCCCACCCACTTCCTAAAAATAAATTTAACTAGAATACTCTCGTTTAAGGACTATCTGTAATTGCCTTGTTAAAGTTTGTCAACAAACGCATTGACCAAAATAAATAATTTAATTTGCAATCTTTTTTCTTACAAACTGCATTTGAATATTTAATTTTATTTGAATGTTCATTTTAATTACTTGGCGAAACATGCAAAACATATATGAATTAGAAAAGAGGATTAAAAAAATGGCGAACAAAGTTAATAAATTGGACAAATAAAGATTTATATGTTGCATAATAAAAGAGACAGTTTTGTAAGTGTGATCTTACTTGCTATTAACATTTTATACATCTTTTTCATAATCACATTATAACGTTGAACTCTAAAAAACTGCTCATTTGATTGACATATCCACTTGCATTCAAGGACTTGATAAGTATTTATTATTTTAAATATTATTGTAATAAAAAATACCCTTTTCACTACGGGTAACAATTATAAAAAGTTTTTAATCACCATCTGAATACAAAATTGCTGTTAACGCACCGTGATTACGCCTATCCATTCGTTCTCGATTATATATCTCACACCTGGACTTTTCTGCGGAATATCGGACTGGGAGACGTGCACAACATGTTGGGATTTCCGTTTCATGTTTGGCCGTCTGACTTTACTTAATTGCTGTGCGTTCAAAAAATAATTTACAACGCCAGAGAGCCATATATATTTATATAGTTAATTTATTATACGCTTTTAACACATTCTCAGTTTTTCATTTATTTGCCAACATATATCGAATTAATTTGCATTGCATATAAAATTCATAAAAATCGGCTTAAGTCTTAAATTAATTTGGGTTCGGGTCGCGCACTGATTGCAATTGGTCGAGGTCAGTGAATCGTTAAGTGGGGGGGTTGAAGTTACCTGGCGTTCGCCTAATGTGATTTAATATACCACAGCGAGTCCTGTAATGGAAATTATCGGATATTAACGAAGGAGAAACCGGGTATCTCATTAAAATTGATCAAATTAAGCCTTAAACCTTGACGAACCTTGCTGGGCAGCCACAATGCTGCACTGCCGATGCATTTTTAGTGACTTAATAAGGCTCGAATGGCCTCTTTCGTTAACTGGTTGGAAATTGCTATGGTCATGGCACACAGCGGGCTGTTAATGTGTAAACAACTGCCAACATATCAATGAGCAGAGGGGGCGGAGCAGTGGGGCAGAAATAAAGTGGCCAGAAGCATGGCCCCGTTAAATGAGCAGTTAACATTGCCCGTTATGAACTTTAATATTAATAACCATTTATGCTTATGACAGACAATGAAAGCCGTGCGCAAATTTACTTTCCGCAGCCGCAATCCCCTTTGAAAACCCACCATCCCCATGTCTCGTTTCTGTTTTCGCTGTTCAACTACAGCCCTAAAATGCTTAGCGATGGTGATGTGGGGGTGTTTGGGCGGCTGAGTGGGCCGTATTCCGCTGCACCATGCATTTAAAAATGCTGCAAGTGTGCCAGTTAATATGCAGACCGACACGGGTCTTCATTACAGCCCGCAAACACAGACAGCGACAAGCACACACCCACGCAAATATGAAACTGCAGGGACAGCGTCAACAAAATAAACAAAAATGTAAAGCAATTAAAAGCAGCCCAGCAGAACACAACGGAATATCCCACATAAAACATGAGCAAAGGCATGATTTTGACTTTTTTGCTTGCTTACTTTCTATTACTCCGGCCCTGACTCTCGCTTTATAAGTATCTTTAGTCTATCGAAAGAATTATACCTATTTCCGAAACCATTTTTACCAAGATATTTGCGCAAAATGGACTCAGATGTAGTTAAACATAAATATAGCTATAAATCTCAAAAAGGTGAACCCAGAAGTCTAGGATCAATGTCATTAATCACTATTTTTAGCTGATCATGACTGTACTAAATGTACACCTTCTAAGACTTAGTTAAACTAGTACTTTTATCTTTAAATTTAAAATGGCAAAGTACGTTAAAAAGTAATTTACAAGTTACATCAACAAAATATCAAAAAATGCCTTTTAGAAATCAGTTTTGAATTTATTTGGTCACAGTTTTGAATACAGATTTCCTTTATATTTCAATTTGATTATTTGGATTCCTGTGAGTTCATTACAAAGATTTTTAAGGTATTATAATCAGTTTTTACAAATCGAAGCCCAAGTCCCAATATACCCCTATTATTTCCATGGATCCTGGGCATCGAAATGGCTGTTGGACCGCCTGCTGAGGGCTACAAGTGGTCATTGGCTGGCTCCTGGCGCTCTTTCAGACCGGATTTTAGTTGGATCCAAATGAATTTTTTGCTTTTGAGGTTAAAGGGCAAAAATTGTGCAGCTAGGCGCCAGCGAACACACGCGGATGGCAGCTAAATATTTACAAGCTCAACGAAAACATCCGCAAACAAAAAGTGCAGACAAACACAGACAGAGAGAGAAGTTTTATGAAAATGGCCATCGCACATACCCCACATGTGGTGGAGTAATTGTTATGCCAAAGTCGGGCTCACAATTTATTTTTGTTAATCAGCAAACGCCCATTCCGCCAGCCACGCCCACCTTGCGGGAACCACGCGTGGCAAGTGGCAACAATTCGACAATTATGTGGCATTTCCATTGCTGCCCCTTGCTGTTCGTTTTTATTTTAATTAAAAAGTCCCCAGCCAGGATGCAAAAAGCGAACAGGTTCACGGGTTCCCATACCTGCAGGCGTGACCCTCCCGAAACCAAACCCCTCCTCCCTCCCCCTCTCCCACCGCATGTGTTAGAATTTTTGATATTTATGGGCGGTGGCCACTGGTCGGTGCAAAGTTACAGCCCGATAAGCATCTGCACCACCCAAAACACCGTCCATTGCAGCTGTTGTGGCTCAGATTTTCGGTGCGTTGTGACCGTTTGGTTCGCAATTATGCAAATCGAAAGATTGCCACACAGCGATATCCTAAAATTCCATGCATTTACAATTTTCTAATCAATGGAATTTTAATTTTAATTTCCAAGGCTGCCCCTTCGGGCTGTGTGTTTGCGATGCATCTTTGTGGTCTGATTATTATTTGCTACGAAAATTGTTTAATTTGCTGCTCAACGGTGGATAGAGCACACATTCAAGGGTAGTCGCGGCCGAGCGGCATTTTAAATTAAAGACCCGGATATTTCAATTAATTCAATCCCAGTGTGAAATGTGTCACTCACATGTCGGCAGCCGAATCGCTTTGTTGCCTATTTACAAGCGCCGTGAATGCGAATGCGAAAGTGAATGCAATTCATATTCATTTTAATTTAATCAGGCTCTTGCGACGTCGCTCAACCGTAATTAAGTTTCTTTGCCGGGGCCAGAGGCTCGGCGAGCGTGTGAGAATAAAAACAAAAAATGGTCCAGTATAATGGGAAAAAATTGAATAAATCAGATAGATATGCGAACCATATTTTACAGAAACCCCCGACGGGGCCGAGCTCATGGCGACTAATGCAATAAAAGATGGCCGCAGCACGTTTTTTAATATTTAATTAAATAAATAATTTCCATTTGGCGCTCGCAGTTTGCCGTTTTCAAATATTCGAACGCACGAATTTAAATATGGAAATACTTTGCACGCACCGGCTGCATATGGTAATATGCATTTTTCGCCAAGCATTTCCGGCGGACTCGTCAAAGTTTCCCGGCCGGGATGCACACACATGAATCATGGCTCTTTGCCGAAAGTTTTCCCTCGGAGTAATTAGAAGACTTAGTCGCATGCCCAGGGGGTCTTTGGCTGACTGCTTAAAATGCTCTTTTGCCGTTAAATTTATGACAACCGCACATGTTGTTTGCCAGCTAGAAACAATAACAATAACAATAACAATAGCAGCCCGCCAGGCGGCAGCCAAAGGCGTGCAACAACAAAGGGCAAAGGGGGAGGGGCCAGATCGCAGAGGGGGGCGCTGCAAAATGCTCGTTAGAAAGTTTCTAAGGTTGCGGCCGCACACGGAACAGCTGCGCCGCCAAAAGGGAAGGATTCTCCGAATTGTTGCACGCCTTCCTTCGCTTTGGGCGGTCACATTGTTGCTAAGCTACACACACACTATACAGACTGTTTCTGTTGGTGGCTGATAAGCTACACAGAGAGAAAAGTATCATCTTAAGCTCAAGAATGAAGTTCTGGGGCTAGGAATGCATCAGCCTTGACAGCTTCGCCTAATAAGCCAATTTTGTTATATGATTACTAAGATATGATATTCTGTACATTACCATACCACTACATTTTTATATTGTTGTACAAATGACTTACAACAGTACTAATTGGCAAGTTTAATGCTCTCCTTTAAAAGTCATATTTATAAATAAAATTAAAATCTTAAAAATAAGTTTTTTATAAATTAATAAACTCAATACATGTTTGCGAAGTATAATTTATCTTAAAATTAAACAACTAATCGTATTAATATATTACTTTTGAACTTTAAAATGAAACCGATTTAAAGATAGAAGTTTATGTATTTGTGTGCAAATATAAATGAACACATTTTTTTGTCAAAAGAATTAATCACTATGGAAACCGATATTTGACGAACTTTAAAAAAAAATCGATTTATTCGAAAATTTGAATGATGAAATTTTCAAAATTTGTTTGGTTTTTTTGAGTGCACTTGGACTCGAAGGCATACCCATACTCATACGCCGTGTGGTGCACTGACGTGACCTCCACTTGTGCGGCAAGTGCTCGAGTGGGCGTGGCAGCGAAATTTCGCTCCAAAGTGAATTTATTGTTTTGGCCATTACCACTTAGCCGGCCCCGAAACTTGCCCCAAAGAGCCGTTTATTTTGATGCAAGACGAGAACTTAAACAACCCGCCGAAGGATGCAAATGGAAAGCTGAGGATACTTTAAAGACTGGATCCTTGTATTTACTCACGCTAAATTGCACTCGATAATAAGTGCTTCACATTAATTAAATAACCAATAGATCGATCTGGGTTTTCCATTGCAAATTATGCGGGCGCCGGAAGGCAAAGGAAGCACACTTGTCGCGGTTTTCGCAACGTTTTCTTTTACCCGCGACAGCGAAATTAATTGCATTGCACGTGGAGGAGCACTTGTTACGGTTGCCATTAGCGGTGCCATTATCGTCATCGACCCTCGAAATCGCTGTAATTTCAAATAGATAATGAAATGCAATTAGAAAGCATGTGGCTGAGCCTGTGTGCCACAAGACTCCTGCAAAATGCAACAATAACAGCAATTTAAACAGGTTTCCCCAGCAGCCGAGTGCATAATGGCGCATAGAAGTTTGTAATTAAAGTTTGCCGACTCTGCCAGGTGACGTCGCCACGGGATATTGCCGTTTATTCCGGCCATTCCGACCATTTCCACCAATCCGGGCTCACAACGCATCAAGAGCAGCAGCAGCAGCAAATCAATATCCGCATCGGACTCACAACCGGACCCGCCGCCGTGATCCGTGCTCCGGCTCGGACTTGGTCTTCGTCCGGGCTTTTTCCCGGCTTTGTCCGGTCCATCAACAAAGCAGAAAATAAAATTCAATTAACGCGCTTAAATTAAACTGCCACTTCCTGTTTTGATGACATTTTCATAGCAGCTTCGTCCTGCAGCAGCAGCAGCATCAGCGGGAGGCTATTCTGCAGCGATAAGAATGCGGTTTCCATTGCCCGTAGGAGCAACTGGAGCCTGTTGCTGGCGTGGTGCGCTCCCGGATGACGTGGTGCCTCCTTTGGCGCCTTGCATCAATATTAAATGGTAAACGACCGGCATAATGGCTGTCCAACTGCGGCTGTCATCATGGTTGCTGCTCGGACAGGTTCCACGCCTGCTCCCGATGACAAATAAAGCTCATTACGCGCTTGTCCGGCATCCTTCACTTCACTCCTGATTGACCTGCATCTGCGGGTGGCAGCTCAAACTGCGGCCATAACTTGCCCTGCACTTGGAAAAAATTCTAGGGCTTTAAGCAAGCCAAAAAAGTTTTAAAAAAATTTGCAGATAACTGATTTTGAAAACTATTTTATATTTTTAAAAACAATTTCAGAAAAATTGTCATTTCTGAACAAATTTATCTACTTGAGAACAACAGGCCAGCAAAATAAAGTCTTTTTTTTAATTAGGTAATTATTTATGAGTATTCTAAACGAATCTAATTGTACGATTTTCTGGTTTTGGGGTTTCTGCATTGGTTTTACATATCATTAGATCGTTTCCTGGATTGGATTCATATTTAAAACTCTTAAAAGTAAAAAGAGATATATTTGACACTAAGGCTTAAGTTTATATTTGAAACTATTAATACTTCAAACTTTATTTTGTAAAATTATTGGTAATTGAGTTTAATTTAAATGTTTTATAAGTATTAGCTCGGTATTAGGTTAAATAAAGCTAATTAAATTGGTTAAGCTTACCTGCAAACAATTCCATAGGAAAAAAATATCTAGAGATCTGTTGAAAAAAAGGTTTTTTTTTTATTTTCTGTGTCAATCTAAGACACGCATCTGTCAAACAAACCCCCCTCCCCCCTTTCCGGACTGCCCAAGGTTCATTATCGAGCTTCGCAACTCTGACGCCAAATGACACAAAGTCATTGGGGCGTTCAGGAGTGATTAAATTAGAACTCAACTTGCCCAAGTTGAACTCTTCGCTGCAGTTCACCGAGTGCCGCATCTCTGGACCAACTTCTTTGCATCTCCATCGTGGGCCTTTGTCCGGCTCCGACACCCATTCAATTTCTTTGCCGGGTTCATTTTCTAGAGCGATAAGCAACTTTGGCCAAGCAACTGGCGTTTAATTTAATTAGTAAGGAGAACCGGAGGCGAGGGGGCGTTGATAAGCGGATGCTGTTGATTGAGATGCCGGGGCTCAAAGCAAACGGAAAGCGGATTTGTAGCAGCAGTTCTGGTGGCGGTCCTTTGCAGGATCCTCTGGATCCTGCAGCTCACAGGGACAGCGGTACATCAGCAAGGCCGGCTTAGTTTGGACAACCTGCTGGGGCAAATCTTGGCTCGGAGTGGCAGGAGGTATGCGAAAGGGTTGCATCCCGGAAGATTCATCGATGGGCGGATGGCTGTTGTGGGCTTGGGAGGGATGCAAGGATGCGGCGAGTTTGTGGCTGCTGTCCGTTTCGGAATTCTTGTCACCGCCCTCGGCACTCGGCTTAACTCCTTCCCGCTGTAAATCATTCGTCGAGAGTGAAGGATGCGCCGCATTCCCGTCATCCATGGCATGCATTGTTGCCCTTTCGGGGGGCGTGGCTGTCAGCGGCGATGTCCCTGCTGGGATTTCACTGGCGTCGCGCCATCGCCATCGCCATCCATGGAACTAGTTCGCAGCAGGGTGGCGGCATTCGAGGCGGTGAGGTTGTCCATCGAGTAGGCGCAGCCCTCCAGCAACTTGGTTAGGAACTTGTTCGTGGGCAGCACTGGCCTTCGCTTTCGCCAGGTGTCCTCTCCGGTTATCCTGCTCCTCCGGTCCTGTTTCCCGGCGACTGGCCGTGTTATCCCTGCAAAGAGCTTCTGCCGCAGCTTATCCTCTGAGCGGCACATTTCGAAGGCGTTGGCAATGGTCAGGAATATCTGCTCTGCCAATAAAGACCGTTGGGGCGTGTAGAAATCCCGGCAGACAGGACAACGCTCCGAGCGGATGCGACAGTCCACGCAGAGCAGGTGTCCATTTTGGCACTGCATCGCCGGCGGAGAGATGGTCACCCCGCAGACAGGACACTCGACGAGGCGCAGGATGCTCTCCAGGACGAGAGACAGGCGTCGCAGGCTTGTCGGCATGGGTGCACAGCAGATGCTCTGTGGATTTCCAAAATTGGGTTAGTTGTCCGATTGATTTAAGAGCTAGAAATGGTAGACTTATATTTGTGAATAAAATGGTAGTTAGGGGGTGTTAAATGAAAAGTGTTGATAAAAGAATACATTTTTAACAGAGTGTAAAAGTGTATTTTTGGCTGTAAAAATGTCTGCACATATTTATTTAATATATATTTTCTTTGAGATTAAACACTTACGTTGTTATCACAGTCCTTTTCACACTCACTGTTCCAGCAGAGAATTGTAACGCAATCCTTTTGGCTTTTGACCATTTTGGCAATTTCGGCAACTCGTAAGCCCAAAACATCGAGACCATTTACCTGGTTGGGAAATATTAATCTTTTTATGGTTCATTTTAGACGATTGTTTCTGAGTGATATAATCGTTCGATGAAGACAATTAAATCCGTATTTTCAGAACCGTTAAATACGATTATACACAGGTGTATATATGTACGTATATGTCTTCAAACAAAGAAATTATAATTGTTTGTCTGTTAAAAACATATTATCTATATTGTTTAAAAATTCATATACTAGTTTTTGAAACTACTAAAATGCATGGGTATAAAAACATTTATAACTTTGCTTTGTTATTCTAAGAAAGACTTTCAATACCAAAAGCATATCAGGTATCTAAATATTTGCTATGGCGAAAACAAATAAATAAAGCGAAATATGGTCAACACATTTTTAAATTCCAAGCACTGCTCGCTGCCTCGCACAACTGCTTGCTGCTTCGCCGACACTGCTTGCGGATGTTAACCCATGCTGGTACTGTTATCCCAAGAAGCTGTTAACTGATAAGTGACTGCAAGTCGCTTGCTTTTGTTTGCTTTAAATATTTACTTTGCGCTAATTAATCTTGCCCGTCAGTTAGTCGCCCTAGCGATTTACGTACGAGTTGAATCATTAGTACTAGGCTGTCTAGGGCGGGTTTTTCATCCAACAGCTGTTTCTAGTCCCCACTCTCCTCCGATAAAGCCGAAAGCCAGGCAATTAAGTTTTATTACAATACTATTTTAAGTAATCAAAATCCACGAAGAACAACAAAAACAGCTAAAATAGCGACTGCCAAGTCTAGGTCTAGATCTACAGTCCAACTTCCATTAAAAATTACTTTTAATTTTTTTTTAAATTCGTATATCTTATTCACTAGTAGCAATATTCAAAAATAATTTTCATATACTAAGCCTAAATATAATTATGTAAATAGATATGAAAATCGAAGTTAATCAGTTTGTTCAAGTATTAATAATTCAAAATATATTTTAAGTACATATTTTGTTTATTAATTTGTTAATTAACCACTAAATGTAAAATATATAATGCTCGAATTAAACTTTGATCACTTCGATTTGGCAGAACTAAGCATGTTTGAAAATTGTGAAGAGGCTTCAGAACGAACACTAGGTTTACAACACTAATTATCATAGGTATATTGCATTGTTATTTGTGTAAGCCAAAGTCTGGGCCAGATAGTGTTACGGCACTTGGCCTGAATTGAGCCTAATACCCAAGCCCCGTTCTGCATTAGCCAGAACTGTTATCGGGGGACAGTGGTCTGTGGCAACTTCATGGGGCAGTACTCACCTCCAGAACGCAGTCGCCGGGTTTCAGGCCGCAGAGTGCGGCAGGTGTGCCGGCTGCCACCTCGCATACCTGTCAGTGGTGTGGGTGTGGAATATGGCATTAGTGGGGGACGGGATTTACGATGGCTGGCTGCTTTGTTACCCAGGGATAGGGGTCCCACTTGCTGCGGGTCAGGTGGAATCCGTAGTTCTCCATTGTGGGAGCGGCTCGAGGGATCCTCAGCAGGCGAACGGTGGAGCCAGCGCCATCCTCCCCATTCTCGGTGGGCGGGGCGTGAAGTCCTCCCCATGATTTCCTCATCTTTGACTGGCAAACTAGCCCTGGCACTTTAACCGATTAAAAACAAATTAAATGCAGCTAGCGAGAGACGTGTTCAGCGTGCGCTCTCGCTTGGCAAACTGTTTTTCGTGTGTGTTTTTTCATTTCGAGACAGCTGGGTATATGTGGGCCGCCTGAAAAGTTGTCGAGCGCCGAGCACTGAGCGCTTTGGGCCGACGCAATCGGGTACGACAAACATTTTGGCCTCAGCTTTTGGCCAAGCTCCCAGCATCAACCATTTAACCCGTTAACCCCCTCCAGATCACTTTTGGGCATTTTATGAGGCGGTGTTGTAAGTTGTCGGCGCCAAAATGTGACTGCGACCAGGGCCAGAGATTTAAGATTTTAGATTTGAGATTTGAGATCCGATACTGACAGCGAGTTGAGCTCATGGAAATTAGTCTTGCGAAGCTAAGTAAATATTTGAACTTTCGGCTGGCAGCGGTTTTTGGGTGCGCTATAAAGTCGCAGCGTTATGACACGTTGATAAAATATGAATAAATTATTAAACTTTTCAGGGATTGAGTCATAAACATTTCAAAAAAATCGTATGTTTTTTTGGATAGTTTAACTTAAAAAACAGTTATTATTAATATATTGTTATTTGTTCAATAGTCACTAAATAAACATTTTTAAGGTCTAACTTTTATATTTTAAAATTTAATATTGAACAGAGCATATCTTTTTATTATCTGAAAAGTATATTGCAAGATACAGCAATTCCACGGAAGTGAAATCGAGAACATGGCCTAATGATGTAACTTAGATATTACTGGGTTTTTTGTTTGAATTTGTATAAAGTATGAATTTATTTTTGATTAATTAAAATTAACTAAGAAACTATAAATAATAATAACTAACTTCTCTCGAATGATTACTTTAAAAATGTGTGCTCCAACAGCCTAGATCCAACCAACACAATTTTTATTGAAATAAACTCGCCATTGGCAATAATGTACACGATACTTAATCAGTTTAATTCCAATTTGTTTACTTTAACAGTTTAGCGACTTTGTAATTAAATTTGAAAATAAACAACATTATTTTCCAGCTTAATTGCGCGTAGGCAGTGCCAAATGGCTATGCATTGTCAATTGGGCGGCAAACAAGTGGACCAAAATATTATTATTTAAAATACCGAAGAAATTAAAATAATAAACGTCGCCCTGGACAAAGGTGTTAGGCCGCGATAAACATAAACAATGGGGCCCTAAATAAATAAACGGGCCCAAACCAAGTTCGTCCATTAACCCTTCCAATGATAACTGATGGAAATTGGCAGCTGACAAATGGATTTGGCATGGCATGGCCAACAAACCATCGCAATCCATTTGACTTTCGCTTTTTTCGCCGGTTTAACTGGCATTGAGGCGGTAATTTCAGTTTGGCGCTCGTCTAAAACATTGCCCAAATAGCATTGAAATTGGTAATTTCATTAAATTTCGGGCCCAGCTAAAATGACCCTGGTCGGCATTGTGGTGTGTGATTTCGTTGTAGCTTTTCAATTTGCCAGTTCAATTAGATTTGGCTGAATTTATGTGGCATCGAGTGGGCCACAGAAGCGTTCGGCAGCCAAAAGCCGTCAGCAGTGTCAAAATTACGGAATACTTAGCCAGGCAGTAACATCAAAATTCATGTTTCTCGAACGCCCACCCGAAAGGTAATTGACTTCTATTAATCAGCCGGCAATTAGGCCTGGCCCAAAGGCAAATGACCAAATTCAAGTGCAATTCCGCCTCTTAACTTATCTTTTATTTGATTGCTTGTGGTCCATTAGGTTTTGAAAAACCGCTGAAAAGCTCGCTGACAGTTAGTTCAAAGCTCTGGCAAAAGGTGGCGCTACATTTAAGCCAAGTTTGTAGGTCTGCTGGTCAGCTGTGAAGACGCCAAGCCTCAGTTTCTTCGCAACTCGCATTCAGTGCGCAAGCGCCGCAAGTTCCGCAAGCAAACGCGAAGTGCGAAGCGCCGGCGCCGAATAAAGTGATTACCATTACCAACGCGGGGAAAAAATCATCTAGCGTGGCCAAGAGTTGTGAAAATTGATTAACCAGCTGAGGTCCAAACAAAAAATAAATAAAAAAAACGGTGTGTAATTGCTAACAAAGCATGCGAGACCTTAGGGCCCCCTCTAATGGCCCAAATGACCTTACGCTCACCCCAATTCGAGTTGGTTAACGTTGTCTTAGGTCAAGGTCCGGCTAAGACCGCTTATTCCAAAAAAAACGCGGAAGTGTAACGCACAATTATAAACGCATTTGCTTGATACTCGCATAATCAAAAGCGGCAAACAAGTTTGCTTCTATTTCCTACTGCCAAGCAAACAAACAAACGAGTCTAAATTGAATTAGAAACGCGCCAAGAGCAGCGCATAAATCAAACGTATACGCAATGCTTGCGCAAAATTCACAACACACACACACACACACACTGTGCGAAATCAAAACGGCGATTCACGTTCAATTGGGAATTTACACGGCAGTCTCGCAGTTTCAGCTCCCAGGCGGCTAATTGTAGAGCGCAGCGTCAATGGCGCATGCGCAACATTTTAGCCCGCTTTGGGGTTTCTGGGTCTCTGTCTCTGGCGCTTTTTTTATTTGCTTGCGGTTTCTTTCGTGTAATTGTGACGCAATTTTCGTGTGAGTTTGTTTTAGTCTCGCTTCGCCAGTTTTGCCACTGACTCAATACACTGAAAACGAAAGCGGGCCCAGAGATCTGAGCCAAGTCAGTTTGCAACTCGTGTGCAGTGTGCAATGTGCATCACCTTCGGGCGACTGCGTATTGCAGTCAGTTGCAATTCACACGCGCCCAAGCTCAGTTCGCTTCCTACAAAGCAAACCACTCATAGCGTTAACTTTACGGTATAAATATTGCAGTTGCCAATTAAATCTGGGCCTGAATTGGAGCGTTACCAGGGGCAGTCATCCTGCATTTGGGGTTTGCGTAATTCTTTGCCAAGTGCCGCGCTTCATTTGACTTCGGCCCAAGAAAAAAAAAGAAGAAAACAATGGACCGCAAATTTGCTGCTGCGGTTGGTGGCTTCTCTTTTTTGTTGTGGGTGCAGCTTTAACTAATTTCTGCGGCAGTGGAATATAATTAAACCGAACTCTTAATTGCCCTTACAAGGGATAAGGCATAATTGAATAATGGCCAGCTTATTGTTCAATGATTTATTTACTTTTCGCTGTGCCCACTTCATTGGCCCGACGTCATAGCGATTTCATGGCCAATGTCAGTACAAGTGAAGTGAAGTGATTTGAACAAGTTTGCCGTACTCGTATTCGAACTCGAACTCGCACTCACATCTGTATCCGCGTGCGTAGACAATCAGAGAGGAAGCTATAAATTCCCAATCTACGCTGAGAAGTTTGGAGTGCAAGAAACATAATCAATTTCGCTGTGAGAATCTTCTAAACTGACAGCCAAGCGATTCTGACGCAATTCATGGCTTCCACTTCGACTTCGACATCGATGGGCAATGACAATGCCAGTGACTAAGCGAAAGAATCCAGTTGCTAGAACAGCTGGGTTCTGGTTTGTTCTATACTATACACATATATTATGGGAGTTCCGGCTGCTTGGGGGCTTAATTGATTTTTGCTAGTGCACAAAGTTTTCAAGAAACCCTTTCTTATTTTTTGTTTTATTTCTGGCTTGGGCCAAAAAACTTTTGATTTATGTGAGCAAATTTTACGGCTGGCGAACGTGGCGTATGCGTAATTACGACCACTTGGCACCAAACTTTCGGGCTAATTAATTGGGCTTCGAGGCAGCTGCCGAAAGGTGAAAGAATCGCCCGCCGAAAGGTGCAAATGAGTCAAGTGCGGTGCTGGAAATCAGAGGAATCCGGTTGCCCCAATCACACACATTTGGGGGGCATAATAAATGCGAGTGTGTACGTGATGGGCATGTCAACTAGTGTTGGGGCATCTTGGCCCCCTGACAAACGAAATAAAACTGTTTGGCAACACTCTCTGTCTTTCCCTATATGTGTTTTGGCCCAGGTAATTAGATGAGCGAGGGTGTGTGCGTCTGGCAGAAGCCACAAGTGTTGAAAATTGGCCAAATTTATGTTGGCCAAGGCAGGTTGCGTGTTTGTGTGACCTTGTGTCTGGTAGTGGCGATTCCAAGTGCCGGATTTAATTGAAATACCTCTTATTACAGACAAGATGCTCCAGCTGTGCACTATTTACGCCTGCGCAAATGGCACTTTGGGCCTGAATTTGAGTCGTGCCCCCTGGGATCCGTATCCGTGGGTCAGCGGGGTGCAGGCGAAGTCGAATGCGGAAAGAGGCGGTGTCCGGATGGGGGACACTCTCCTGGAACTGAACGGAGCCGATGTCCTGGGCCTGAGGATCAGTGAGCTGGCCAGCCGGCTGCAGGATCACTGGCAGAGCGGCGCCGAGGTCGTGACCTTGATGATGTGGCGCCAGCAGGCGAACATTTCCCAGAATGAAGATCCTGCCGAGGCATCGCACGCTGTGGTGAGTCCTTTGCGCTATTCATATTCCCCAATCATCATTGCGGTGTTGTTATATAGGCCATTGTCTTACATGTTCGTGAGCCATTGAGCGTTACGTAATACTGAATGGCTTAATGACTGCTTCTGCTTTGGCCCAGTATTTAGTAATTAGACGATGCATCCGCTTGCTTTGTGGGCTTGAGTCTGCCAATTGCACTTTGGCTGCTCAAGGTTGCATCTCATAAAAATATGAGAAATTGGCGTTCAATTCATAATTTATACATAACCACACGTAATCTTAATTGACAGCCCATCAACTGCTATTTTCTTGAGCTTGATTGCATAAATACAAGTTTAGTTTAATGAATTGCAAACTGGGATGAACCAAAACTGAACTTAACTTTTTATTATTTGTTACAATATTTATAATAATCAATTATGATAACGTAAACCATTTAAAAGGTAAAAAAGTTTTCTTTTCATTTGTATAGCACATTATTTTCTTCTCTTATTTGTCTTTCTTGTATGTTTTTATAAAAACTACAATTATAATAATTTATAGGCTGAACAAAAACTTTCTTTCCTTTTTGTGCAATTGACATTTGTCAAATACGGTAAAAAGCTTTGATAACTGTCCGCAGGACCTATTAGAAAGTCAACAAATGACTTTGGATTTTATTTAGAACTCAGGTCCACTTCAATGTATATGCAAGTTTAGATCCTGAGGTAAGACCCGAGGCGTTCAGCCATACAGATGTCCTGACGGCGTTCATGTAGTAGTGTCGTTGTAAATTGTTTATCTGCTGACCAAGAAGCTGTTTACTTTATTAAATGCAATTGAATCGAAATAACGCATTTCCGTTCTTGACACATTTTGTGTACTTTATTACAATTCGATTGACCTAAATGTCCTCGCAGAGGACGTTCAAAATTTAAGGCCAGCCAGGACATTCGCACACACATGTGGCCACCTGGCTGGCATGAAAAGTCCATTTCAATCAATGCCGAAGGCAGTGAATCACAGAGTGTGCGCCAGTTTGACCCGTTAAACAGATTAAACTTGCAACCGCATCCTGCCACAGAGCGTAATGTGTCTTTCGAATGCAGTTGGCCCTTTCGGCCGGAGTTGTGAACACAAGTAGTTTTGATAATCGAATGCAAATTGAATAGAAACCGCCTTAGATAGATGCCTTTCATAGTCAATGTGGCGTGAATTATTAATGCCGCACCACCAAAAAAAATATAAATATAATTAATTGCAAGGCGTCTGATTTAATTGATCAAATTTACCCCAGGTGTTGTTCAACCTTGAAGTGAAGTCCTTAAATTAACCGGATTGAAATTTCTCCCTATACTTGCAGCAGCACGGAATTAATCAACAATCGCTGCAAAAGTTTGCAACATGCCTGCAACATATTTCCCAATTACTGGAGTGTCCTGTGTGCCTTGAGGTAAGTGGAATAAGGGCGATGCGGGATGCGGGATGGGCGGTATGTTTGAGTGGGCGGGATGCTGGGCCATAAGGACTCGTCCGCCGCCTGCATGTGCATTGCATATCGATGAGGCTGACTGGCTTTAGTTTTAGTTCGTCATTATCTAACTCAGCTGGGCTCGAACTCTCGACCCAACTCGCCCAAAACTTAGTTGGCCAGTTGGCCTCTTGTTTGGCTTTGTGAGCCGCTGTGTCAATCCCACTTTGAGAAAAAATATCACAATTTGGGTTTCGATGATTGCTGTTTTTCATACCAAAATAGCTTATATCTAGAATATTAACGTATTATTTAGGTGTTTAAATAATAGGTTGTTTAAGTGTCTACAAAAATTATATATTGAAATCAATGAGATTTCGTAGTAGGCAAACGCATTTTAAAATATTTTATAACTAGCTTAGTTAGCTAAGTTTATTCCATTTTAGTTTTATTCCATTTAATTAGACTTTGAAATTATAAATAAATTAAACCTATAATGAAGGTATTCTGTGTTCTGCGAAATTTAAAGATAAACTTAGTCTAATTGAAAAATGTTGGTCATTAGCTAATTATTGAATTTAAAATAACATAAAGACAGGAATAAGAATCAAGATTTATTCTCTGTACATTAGCAGTTCCATTGGCAATCCCAGTGCCATCCTCTTCCGGACCTGCGTTGATTTTGCTGCGCAAGTTTGTTGCTAATCACTTGACTGTATATAAAGTTTGCAACGTCGGGCTGCCGGTGATTGCGTGCCCCCTGTCCCACGTTCATGTGCCATGTCCCTAGATCCCCCCTTCCAGCCCCCCCACACCCCCTCACTCACCAGGTATGCCAGCTTTGTTGACTCAATTACTCAAACGACGCACATGGCCCAATCCGGCTCTCCATGTTGGCAGTTAATAGCCGACGGTTATGTTGCCTGGCCAAGTTTTTTATTCGGCCGCCTGTTTTATTTTGTCCTATATTCGAGTAGGTTTTTGATAAATGTTTGCCCGGGCATGTGATTTGATTAGTTTTGCAAAATATATACATCCATGTGATTGATTATGTCGTTTAAAAATCAAATATTGACGATTAGTATGTGTGGGGGCAGCAGCGGAAGTCAGTGTGAAAAATCGTGTCAATCGCCTGCGGGCCAGCTTCTGATTTTGCTGTTTCTGATGTTGATGCTCACTCAAAGCCCCGAGCTCGTTGTGCATTTAAATTAAAGCTGGTGTCGAGGGCCGGGCTTTAAATTTATTTATGCCCAGCTTGTCAGCAAAAACATAAATTTAATTAATTAGACAAGATAAAGAGTGTGCAGACCGGTGGGCAGAGCTCTGCGTTTGCCTCTTTGCGCCACTTTGCTCCCCCATTTCTGGCCATTTAAAATGCAGAGTTATTTTCAAATGAAATTCTCGCCTGCAGCAGATCTCGTTGGCTCAGTGCTGGAGTGTCAGTGTGTAACCATAAATTAAGCATGTGCGGAGAGGAGCGGCAAGGACATCCCGGAGCAAGGAGATATCCTGGACGCCGGCCACGCTGCAACGCCTTCGGAGCGAGTTGGCCGCAGAGCAGCTTGGACTCCACTTGCTGCTGCACTGAATAATTTGTTTATTAACCCGAAATCAGTTTATACTGCTCCGTCCCGCTCTCGCCTGCGGCTTATTTCCCAAGCAAAGAGAGAGAGAGACAGAGCGAGCTGCAGTCCTTCGGATTTGGCCATTATTACTGTGGCACGGAGCCGGCATTATATTGTATTATGAGCACATATCCTTCAGTTTGTTAGCCTGTGTATGTGTGTGTGTGTGCAGCGTATTTATGTATGCAAACACGCACACAAGTCCATTAAGTTATTAAGGGATTTTATTCTGGTAGATTTTCAATAGTTGTGCATCCTCGATTCCCTTCAATGCTAATCGCTTGCATTAGTCTGCATCCAGTTGGATAAGGATATGCATCTGCCTTTTCTTGTTTGACCCTAAATGGGGCATGAAATTGTTATTGTTTCATTTAAATATGCATACATTTGCAGGGGATTTAATTTTCATAAATTTTGCAAACAAACAGCTCAACTCCGGCTCTTAATGGCGATATGATTAAATCATTTTCGATCAGGCTTGCGGGGCTTTAGTTAATATAAACTAGCAAACGAGTTCTGCAAATCGATTCAATACTGTTGAAGATGTTTTACAATATGCCCAAAAGCATGCTATGCCAATTGCGATTGCTCTGCGACAGATGCCGAGAAGTGGGCTAAAACCACTCGGCTTTGTCCACTTCCGCCGCCACTTCCATTTCCACTTTCCCCTCTTTTCCCATTTTGTTTTCGCCCAGCTGCATTTAATTGATTTCTATCTCTAATTGGAGTCTTTGTTTATGCATGCAGGGGTATTAAAATTAAAAGCATTTGCTCCTGCCATTTAAGCCAATTAAAAACAATAAAAGACGAATAACATTAAAACATATCTGCCACACGTGCACGTTCCTTTAATCCCTATTACAGTTTGATTTCCCAAACATGTTGGAAAGTTAGGGCAATTTAATTTTTCCTGCTATTAAAGCGTGAATCTGATTGCTATCGCAGTTCATAGAAATGTCAAATGATACGATTAAAATGTTTTTTGGTAGAAAGATTATTATTTTCAAATTTATGTACTTAAAAGATAGTTCACAATACCTTTAGTAGATGTGTTTCCATTATAGCTTAGCTGATTGGATTTAATTGGTTTCCGTTAATGAGGATCCAATCATATTTTTTTTCTTTCCGTGCACTCTAGCTCTTTATCTTGTGGTTTTTTTATATGGTCAAATTGCAATCGAATCGTTGTACATTTGTAATACTTCGATTGCAGTTTTGCAAAATCGTAGCAAAAAGTATAAAAGCTGCAGCAAAAAAATTGTTTCTTTATTCAGCTCGTAGCAAATTTATGTTCGCCTGCATATTTACAACAGTTTTGGCTGAACACACGCACAGACGGGCAGAGACAAAATGCATCGGACATACATATATCGATACATATTCCCCAGTCTTTTAGTCCATATTCCGTGTTCGCATTTCTATATTTTTTGTATTTTTTGCATTTCTGTATTTTGTGTTTTTGTGCTTTTGTGAAGGACCGACTTCAAATGCGAGAAAGTATTTCGGGTGTGCATCACAGTTGTATTATTTTAAATCCGCTTGCAATATTTTCAATTTGATTTTCAATTTAAATGGAAAGCTGGCTGCGCACAACCCTTCCAAAGTAATACATTTTTCATGTCAATTCGAGAACGGCAATCGGGACAGCATTTGAACTTAAGGAAAGCTAGTTCCGGGGGCAAACGAGAGGCAAATGTGGGCAATAATCAAATTTAGTTTCCGTTTGTGCATTGCGAACGACGAAGACTAGAATTGGTTTTTGTTTAAATGCAGTTTGGAAAATAATAATGATGCAATCAGAGAGCTCAGCTCGATGACCGCTCCTGGGGACCTGGGGCTCGATGGCCATGATGTTTATAATTAATTGAAATAATTCCCCCTCTGAATAATTACACACATTCAACGAGATCCTTTTTCTTTTTCTTTTTCCTTTCCCTTTACTTCTTTGTGGAAATCAGGTCATCAAGCCACCTGGCTGGCAGTGCTGCAACGGACACGTGCTCTGCAATAATTGCCGCAGTCGCTCCGTAAAGTGTCCTGTGTGCCGGGTTCCTTTGGGACCGAGGGGCCGCTGCCTGCTGTCGGACAAATTATTCACCCTGCTGGCGGAGAGCTTTCCCTGCGACGGCGGTAAGTGCTGACCGGTTTTTAAGGACATGTATTCGCGACTTTTATCTATTTATTCTGCGCGAACCGATACCCGAATTGGCCTTGTCATTAGGTAACAGCTGCCTGTTTCTGGGACTTCCAGGGGGTCTTCTTAGATGGCAAGGATAGAGGTGGGTTTCGGTGGTTAAATTCTGTTTTATTAAACTTCCGCCCTTCTTTAAGTATTGATGGAATTTAATTTAAATTACAAGATTTAAATTTATAATAAATCTTAATAAATCTCCATTTTTAATACACTTAAAATTTAATAATTCCAATATTCAAAGTTTGTTTTATATGAAATACCTTTTCGTGTTTACTGCAAAAATACAATAATAAATAGTTTAATATTCCCTTCAATCATTTTGCTTATTTTAATCTGAAAATATATAAAATGTGTAAACAAGTTTATAATAGAACTCCGTATTTAATTTCAATAATTGTACGCATTCGTGATTTATTTTCATTCGCTTGAATTTGTTTCTAAATTTATACCAATTACACTACGGAATGTTTGCATTGTTTGAAAAATGGTGAGCTTTGAAATACGAAACTCCTGTGCACATGGCTCCTGCCCCTTCTCAAATATATCCTGTGCTATTGGCAACATCCTGGGCCGCCTAAGTCCTCATTTAGGTGGGCCAAAACTTTTGAGCAACGGCAAGTGTCAATGTTTCACTTAAATCTCAACCGAGAGCCGCGCAAATGAAAGAAAAATGTGACGGGTAAGCGGAGTCGAGAGTCAAGAGTGCTTGAAATTGAGCGCAATGGCTCATCTTCGCTTGTTGTTCTTTTTATAGCATAATTATGTAACATAAATTGCTAAAGTTTTTCGCGCTTTTGCGCCGTTGCCGTCTTGCTGGCATTTGTTGCCCGGCTGCTTCGTTTAAAGTTTAGCCGCCCTTGTTGCCATTTTCAATCTGTGTCCGCCAACTTAACTTCGAGTGAAGTTTACAGCGGAGGTAACAAGCAGCAACAGAATTTTCCGCCGTTGTCTGCATTTGTTTTTACTTGTTGGTCTTCATTTTTTGCCACTTTTACCCACTTTTCCCCACTTCGGAGTCGTCTGCTTTGTTTTTCCCCAGCTTATGCTGTGCTTAGTGCGTTTTTATTGCTTCTACATTAAGTGTGCATTCCTTATGTTTTGCCGAGATTTTCCAAGCTCATATTTATATAGATGTAGGTACGGGTAAATTTATTTTGTTTTTTTTCTATTTTCATTTGCCACTTGAACTTCTAGGTAGTTTCTGTCAAGAGTCGGGGCGAAACCCTAACGAGCGACAATGGACAATTGCAACTGCAGGAAAACTTGCGAATTGTGCGTGAAATGTGGAGAGTCGGGGAAAGATTTCAGAACTAGGACTAGATATCCCGACTGTATTTATTATATTTACATTACGTACTCTATTCTCCAGGCACTTTTTTAATGGTTCTTTCTTCGGTTCTGCCTCTTTTCAGGGAAAACCAACAAGGTGACTGCGGCCCAGGGCCATGAAAAACTGAGCAGCGTCAACAAGTGCACAAATGAATATCATAATCAACCGAAAATGGCGCTGGCCAAGTCGAGTTCCGGCAAGAAGTGCGGCAAGCAAATCTCCAGGCAACTGACAATTTCGGTGGACCATAACCAAATGCCAAAGGGAGTGGGAACGGGAGACGAGGAGAATGCCCAAACTCCCAGTGAAATCAGGAGGAAAAGCCAGGAGGCGGTCCTGCAACGCTGCATGCTGATAAAAGTGCAGCACCAGGAGACGGCTGACGAGGACTTTTCGGGGGTTTCGGGGGAGGGTCACAACAATATGCTCGTTAAACCAAAGTTAAAGTTGAGTAAGAAAAGTTGGCGGATTACAGGGCCAGATCAAGACGGATTGCGCTGCGATGAAGTTGCCACCATAAATAATGGCGAGCAGGTGAGGCGGCAGGACCAAGAGCAGTATCAAAATTATCATTGCCCCACTGGGAAATCATGCAGCTACAGCTACAGCCACGGCCACAGCCAGCAACTTGGGCAGCCAGTGGCCAACAAATTGTCAACAGTGGTCGGGATGCAGGACACCGCAGGAGCGGATTCGGGAGGTGCATCCTTATCAGCGGGGAGCCATAAACAGGCGCCGGCATCCCGAGTAAATCAGGCGCTGGACGCGGGGTCAATAGGTCGGCGGGAGTGGCAGCTGCTGCGCCACCTCAGCGCCGAGCACCGCCTGGCGGTGGTCCAAATCTACGGCACGTTCGGCGAGCGGTTCCACGTGCGCCCCCAGCTGCCCCAGGAGGGCGTGGCCTGCCTGCGGCTGAGCGAGGAGTCCAACACTTTTGGTCACGTCAGAGTGCACACATTTTTCTTGGCTGTCATTGCGATCGGTGGCGGCGACGACGAGTACGCCGTATTCCTGTGGCACCAGGACCTGCCACAAGGACCCACTTTCGACACTGTCATCCAGACACAATGCGGACGCATCCTGTGGCAAGGACCTGTTCAGTCACTCCGGCGCAGCTGGCCGGAGATTAGGGCATCCGGCCAGTTCCTCACCTGTCGCAGTTTGGCCGCCAACTTCGAGGTGACCATCAACAGCAGGTAGTCCCCGCAACCAAGACTGCTCTTAAAGTTTAGGAATAGTATTAAAGCTAATTAATTTAAGACTACGAACTGACTTCCACTTCTGGCTCTCCGAAAATAACGATAGAGCAAACCAAAACGGGAATGAAAATAAAAAGTGAATTGTATGCTTTGTAAATTATATTTGCATTTTTTCAACCACGTGTATTTATACGAAAAATGCAAAACGCAATTTGGAAATGTGTTTAATCTGCAATATTTTTAATTAATAAAAACATTTAGAAATGTGCTGACCTGGCAGTTTGAAAGTCGTAACAGGTGAATGGCGTGGCCGGGTTTTATAAACCAGTAGATGCTCTACAAAAAACAAAGAAATCGAAGAGTGGTATATATTTGAATGCCTGATTCCATCAAGAGAAAACCTTCCTTTGACCGACGAATCAGTTTTTTAATTCCCGTATCCCATTTCAAGAGTATCTCCATTTCGTGAATGAAAAGAGGGACTGTATATCCTTGTGGTGAAAAAAATGATTCTCATATTTGTGCTGAAAACCGACAACAGCAACTGCACTGGTAACTAGCGCCTGTCTGTTTGCTGCCTCCTGATAATTGACTTGCATGCAAATTAATGTTTTTTGCCTTCTCTGCCACGCGTGGGCGTAAATTGCTGCCCTGTCTGACAAACAGTAAACACGGTCAATGCAGCGGCGAGTCATTTTCATCAACGCAGCGCTATACATAAATCTCTGCACCATCGATGTTTACCATATTTAAGGAAAAAATTCCAATTTGATACAACAAAAATCACAGCGCGGTAACAACATGTGTGCGCGGCAAATAGAGCAAGCCTGTTGTATTATCCTTTTTTTTCGTTTTGGTTTGGCTTGGCATTCCTGCTTTTCCACACTATCGCCTGTTTGTTTTTGATGAGCCATCATCGTCATCATAGTCATCTTATGTACTGCAAGTGCAACTGCACAATCGAAAAAGTCTGCATAGTTAAAATAAATTAAATATTTTCGCAAACGACACTTTTTTCCACGCTGGTGACGAGGAGATGATCTGACTGCAGCACGGATAATGGCAATGACGTCACAGCGATTGGTTATCTTTGTCAGGAGGTCCATCAGGTAAATTAAAAATGTTCCGGCGAAGCAATTAAATTACGTCCTCAACAGCGGCAGCAAAAATAAGCCCGATATGATGAGCCAGGGAAAATGCAAATTTCCAGAAAACAATTTACAAGACAAGCCAAGCTTGTTAATGAAAATTGAGACTGGATATTTGTCAAGGAAGAGGGTCGCTCTTGAAAATACAAGAATTTTTATAATAAATAAATGTACTTAAATGAAAGATATTTTCATAAAAATGACTACTAAATATAATAAAAACTAATTTAAATGTATTAATATATAATCATCATAAAAATGACTACTAAATATGATTAAATATCAATTTAATTGTATTAATATAAAAACAGAGCTGTGTAAAAATAATAGCCATCTATGAATGATATCATTATCGTATAGAGCTTAAATGGGGTAGGTCAGGCGCACAATTTCATGAAAAAGGGAAAGCATTTGACATGGCACCCACATACAATGTTCTATGATTAGGCGTCTATTAATAATACAGGCATTCAGTGCCTTATCTCATTCAGATAAATTATGTCTATATGTCAATTATTTATCAGCTAATTGGTTTGCCTTAGAAAACTATGGGAATATTGAATCGAAGATAAACGACTTCAACCACTTCCCCTCCCCTCTATAAACATATAGAAACTCATATTGCCCGCTCTTTCCCTCACAATCTCACATTGCTCATTTTTCTCTTATAGAAGGTTTGCTTTGCGCTGCTTGTTTGTTTGCCAATTAGTTTTAATCGAAGTGCGCTCGCTGGTTCTCCGCTCGCCAATCGTTTGTTTAAATTGCTTTTCTAATTAATGCGCTGGGCAAATATTTGCCAGTGCATGTGTTGTAATAAAAAGAAGCTCCAAGTTCCCGGCTCCTTGGGCTACTTTGATTCCGCCTTTCCGGCGGTCGTGTCGCGCGTGTTTCGTTCCGCGCATTGTGTTAATTCGATTCTCCGGGTCGGTCAAGTGATTCAGTCTCTTTGGAACACTTCGATTCTCTTTGGCTGTCAATTTCAGTGAATACCAGGCGGCTACGTCATCGTTTGATTGCGTCAGCAGTCGCTCTTTCCCCAAAGCTCTTTGTTTTTTTTTCCCGTTTTTCTACTCAGTTTTGTTTTGCTTCGATATTCTGCCATCAGGCGACATGAGCAGCGATTTCGGTAAGCTTAATTTCAGTGATTTAAGTATTTAGCACTGGCAGTTTTCGGTTTTCACATTCGGCGTTAATTTACGAGTTTATGATTAATCAATTAAATGCCAATTTTTGCCAAAGTGCCAACCAAATAAATCGTGTTCAAATACAATCCAACATTAATAACTCTTAACGCTAGGCGGTAGAAAATGAACTCTCTAATTTATATACATTTCGGATTGCTAAATAAATGACAACAGTTTTAGTAGCTTATTCTTTGCATAGAGATTAAAAAGAGTTATTTATTTTATGTCAATTTATTAGTTGTACATACACAATCAATAATTTTAATCTAGAATGAATTAACCGAAAACATATTTGAAAACATATTTTTATGGGAAAATATTAAGAGTTACCTCAAAAATTTCATAAATTTAACAAGGACGAAGAAGTAATTACTGTTCTTAAAACCATTCACAAATATATAACAAGTTGAAAAAATATAAAGTATAAATATTTGGCATCCAAATTAGGTAAAGCTTATCCTAACTTAACAATTTTTTAAATCAATTGTTGCTTTTCTGTCATGATTAAGAAAAAAAGGTTGTTATCTGACTTAAAAACATAGGTTGAAAAGGCTTAAATCAATTTTGGTTATAGAATGATATGCAAAGTGATTTAAACTCCTTCAGGTGTCCAGGATGTGGTGGCCGAGAGTGATGGTCCGCCCCTGCAAGCTTTTCGCTGCAGTAACCCCTTCGACGATTCTTATGAGAAGACCTCATCTGAACAGGATTTTGAGCGCGATAGGGATGCCAATCAGACGCCGCTGCACATGCTGCGGCGGGCCAGCGAAATAGTGACTGCCAGTATCCTGGAACCCGAAAAGGAGCAGCTCCTGGGTGAGCGGCCTCAGGTTCCACCCCGGACCCACGGACCACAGATCCCAAATACCTCTGAAGGTAAGTAATTCATCTATTTGTGCGCTGTCGTCATGGAAAGCTCAAAAAATGCAAGGCAAAAGCAAAGCGAAAATATGTTTTCCGGACATTCTTGCCCTTTTTCCGCATGCAAGGATGAAGAAGGATGCTGAACAGAGACATCCAGAGGCACAACTCTATGCCAACGCCTCGTTGGCCAGCCAAGCGAAGCTCCACTGACAGAGACGGGCGGAATGCGTTCTCACATATGTATGCACTTCAGCATGTATTCATAGTTTGCTTATGCAAAGTTTTTGTTTCGCCAGCTAGGATTCAGGCAAAATCAAAGTCCAGGCTTTGAGCATTCAGGAGCTGATTGAGGCATTTCGATTTTAAGTGAACCGCACAATCACATTTTGCACAAATAAGGGGGACGGGGCGTATACGTAATATTTCCGCATATTGACGCCAGAGCGTCTGCGATTGGCAGTGCTGCTGTCCCGGCTCAAAATCAAGCATTTCCTTGGATTCTATCTGCTGCTAAAAATGTGCAACGTTTGCTGGGCATATGTGAGGGGCACTTGAAACTGGGTTTTTGTTTACACTTGTCTGTTTTGGCAGGTGGCTCCCTGCTGGTTTTTCGCCTTCAACAAAACGGTTATTATTGTTAAAACTCCCGTAGCTGCAATTGTTTTGCATCTGTCCAAATACGGACTTTTTGCGCGGACTTTTGCCAACTTTTAAGGGGAAAAGGATTTCCCTTTGGGCCATGGCCACAGTGGCATTTTCACACGAATAATGAGCCGTTTTAGTTGCACCCAAATGCCCACAATCAGACAACTAACACGAGTGCCAAAAGCCCGCGGCTCTCGACAAAGTATGTTTCCATGAATATGCATTAGCCGGGGCTCATTTCCTGTGCATTCATTTCGCATTTGCCATTCGCACTCGCTTTGCTTTCGAGTTGTGCCCTCGAAGCCTGCACCACTGATTCCGATTCCGATTCTGATTCCCGTTTCCATTGCCATTTCCATTTCCATTCCCATTCCGAGTCTCTGATTTGACTCTGGAAGTCATATTTAAATAAGTTTGCGCACCGCTGCAGGCTGCTCTAATGCTCGCATGTGCAGGCGCTCGTTTATATTAAATAAATTCCATTTAAATGTAGCGTCTGGGGCAATTCCTCAAGCTCAACCTTGAATGGGTGTGGTAGGGGTATTCACCTGTCAAACCCCCCACCCCCCTCACTATACACCTGCTCACTTTTCAAATGTCGCTTCTGCTTTTGAGTGAAACTGCGACATTTCTGTTAACTAAAGCCAACATGATATACGCTTGCCACACAAACATTCACTGTCGACTATTGATAAATGCAGTGCATTGCGCATTCGCCCCGTGCGCCCGCAGAGCTGTATGTAAGTCAGTTCATTACGTATACGCAGTGGGCGACATTTATAAATGCCAGTATGGGTGTGACTCAGCATAATGATTGCCAAATGAATGGGAGAATGTTAACCGTCACGAAAACCCTTTAGACGCCATTTGCATTGACGTTGATGCGTTTTGCCCAACAGCATTTCGCATCTGTTGGCCCACTTGACAGGCTGTGGATCCTTTGACTGGCTTCGAAGGATCTGGCACTTGCACTTGCACCAGAGCTAATTACTAAAACTGTGCTTAATCGGGGCTTTCCACTTTTGCTTTGACCACCTGTCCGACTAATGTTGGGGACTTGTTTAGTTGGCTTTGCAAGGGCTTTGCCGTTTTCAATTTGTCGCCTTATTTGCTAAGCGGTGAATGGCGCTTTATGACCTGGTTTTTTGCAACTATTTTATTTTTTTTTTTCGTTGGCTCGCCCGGAGCCAAGAAAGTGCCAGTTCTACTGATTTGCGATGTATGAGCACTAAATTAGATGCGAATCGCTGGGGCGTGAGTTCATCTCTTGGCAGGAAGTGCGTGACAACGGAGTGCAATCTTCCTCAGAAAGAAATTATTTTTCAAATGTGCGCCATGCACTGGTTAACATTGGAGTTGCAAGTCTGAATCAGGATTCAGGACGCGCGAAGGATGCCGGCTGGCATAGTTAAAAGGTGGCACGCTTAAGTAAACATAAATAAAATAAATGTGTGCTGCGTACGGGCAAAGTGATTTGATATATGCTGCAGACAGAAGATGGAGTTTCAAACTCTTACTTAGACAGGAGCTCTTTGGATGAAAAAATGGTAGGATGGTGGAGCAGAAGTCATCACCATGTGCAATTTACCGTTTAAACATATTGAAAAAGCACCTGACGTTTGCCCGTAAGTAATGAATAGTTGAATAACTGATATAAATCACTGTATATACAAAGGGGTGTTCTTTGCAAAGCAATTTATGGAACTTTTTGCTGCTCTGCCACGCTGTAATAACAATCTAAATGTTAAGTGACAGCAAAAAACTTTGCAACTTCGAGAACTACAATAAATTCTCAATCAGACCTTAAAGAAGTTTTTCGACTATCTTGCCAGGCTCTCGAAGTTGTTTAGTTCTCGTTTCGGCCTTGTCTGGAAAAGTGTTTGCCTCGCTTCCAATTAACACCTCAGACTCGCACTCACACGCAATAGTCCGCACATGACAACCGAATGACAAAAACTTTTGCTGCAGATGCAACTGCAGCTCTATATCCATGGCCATTACTTTTTTCCATCATCACAGGATCCCCGGCTTTTTTTTTTTGTCCTGCCTAGTGCCATAATTTGTGTGAAAACTTCGCCAGCAATTGAAAAGCGAAATGCTGGGCATCCAGTTTCTTGGCTTAAAAGAACTTTTGCATTATTTTCGTGCCTGGTCACTTGAAAGTTGCAGAAAATATGATAAGATAAAATGCCAAAAAGTGCCAGTGGCAAGTGGGCGGCGAGCAGCGATAGGGGGCGTGGCCCCGGCAAGAACTGCCAAAGGTAATAATCAATGGGGCGGCCAAAGAAGCCTTAATGACCTGCCCAACTTGCAGTTCAAGTTGGCTCAACGGCTTCTTTTTGCGACTGCCGCCGAGTGCAGCGCATGAATATGAAATATGAAATATCACAGCAGCGGGAAGACCTCCGAAAGTGCTGTCTTACAATACCTGAACGCTATCTTTGCTGACACCTTTGCACAATTTATGCACAATTTTTTCAGTTTCAACGGCAGCGGCAGAAGCTAACAAAAAAAAAAAATAAAAGTAAGTGCCGCAAAAACTTTTAAATGAGGCACATAATTCAAAAAGGCAGCGAAGAAATCTTGCCTCGGTTATCATTCCATTTCACCAAAACTCCCATTTCCCTCTTGTTATGGCGCAGATATTTTAAATTAATTAGCAAAACTTAAATATTTGCTGTAGTTCAAACGCGAACTTCGCATTGAACTTGTAAATATTCAATAAGCTCGCAGCCATTATGAATTCAACTCAACTGAACCGCACCGAGCCGAGAGTTTAGCCCGCTGAAATGGCAAATATTTGCGGGGCGTACATAAGTTTCCTGTTGGTTATGGCTAATTAATTGATAAGCAAATGCTCGTATCATAAATGAGCCCCGGGCCAAAGTAGTGTTTGTAATGGAAACACTGGGGGTAGCATTTTCCCAACTATTGCAAAATGCCCTAAGCTTTCCAAAATAACAACGCACTTTAATCCATTGGTGTTCTATATGTGAACATCTTGATCTTGATCAGTTTCCGACTGCTCTTCTGATTAGCACCTCCAACTTAGGGTTCAGTGTCAATTCCATCTAATAATCCCATATGTTCTCATTATCACACATCTCACTCGACTCTCGCGATTAGCTCGCTAATTTTAAGTTATTAAACAAATATTTTGTTTGTTTCGCTCGCGTGCCCACGAGAGCGTCTCTAACTCCCAGATATATGTTTTTTATTAGCATAAGATAAAAAGTGTATACGACAGAGGCTGTAGAGCTTTCCATAGAGCATTTCCATCTCAGTTGGCCGCTGCCATTGAACGCGATTAGTCGGCGTTTGGCATTAAATTTGTGCGGTTCCGTGATGAAACGGTTTCAATAAAATTTCAATTTCCATTAAATGAGAGAATAGGATGCCAGTGAATATTGCTAGTTTTATGAGTGCTGCGGTTAACACAAACTAATTTATTTATACGCCAGCCAGGTAAGTCCCAACCAACTCAGGGCAAACCATAATTTCCCGACTCTCGTCATTGTTTTGATTGTTAGAAAACACTGTTTCCATTGGCGCGCAGCGTTTTACATCATTTCAGCACACACAAAACTTTTTAAAATGCTCGTTATTGTTTTAAAAAGTGTATACATTTAGTTTTATACGCATAGTTACCGCGATGTCTGATTATTTTATTATTTTAAATAAAATTAAAATTTTAAATAATTTTGTTTCGTGGTGGCTGCTTACTTTGATTACCGGTGTTTTGCATTGCATTTTTGCGTTATCTCTTTCAAACAGAGAATCCCTTTTAATTCAGTTGTAATTAGTTACATTTGCTTTTGTCTGATAATATGATAGGGCTACATATATAGTTTGACCATTTTGTGTAAGTCAAGAAGTAAAAATAATTTGATTATTATTATTTAATGAATACAAATCTTAAATTAAATATTTATGAATTCATTTTTTGTATGACATGCCTTAATGGGATATTTTAAGTAACTACAAATTGTTACCTGATGTGTAAACTGAGGGATATGAAACCAAAAACAAAAAAACCGAAAGACAGACTTAAAAAATCAATTGAAAATGAAGTAAGGGATTTTTAATTTGTGGCTGAAATAATCCCAACATTGTTGTTTATGATTTTGCATCCACCATATATTTATTTGCGTTCCCTGCATTATGACACCCAATTAGCATCGGCAATCAATTTAGGCATGTGTGTTGAAGAGTCGCATGACGCGCTGAATCACAATCGACACGTGATCGATGGACCAATACGCAAACAGAGAAATTGTCGCCTCGAACAACTGGAACTGGAGTTCGCACCGGCGAGAATTGGCGCTAAATATTTGCGCACAATTAACACGTAGCCCGGCGGAGTGGTGACAAATGACAAGCAGATTGTCTTCTAAAATCAAATACAAATGCGAATAAAAAGGGCAAAGAATCTGGGAATCAAATCAAATCAAGTGCTGATTGCACAGCCCATGGAAAGCACACATAGGCAGAGTCGGCTCTGAATAATAATTGTGTGAAGTAGATTGTAAATTCCTGTTATTAGAACGGCGCTTCATATGCAAATATCAGAACCAGTCTCCACTCCAATTAGCCAGGGTGTTGGCGTCAATTGCTCGGAATGGTTCGCCTTTGCATTCGCAGCGAACCGACATTAAGTGCGCTAATTATAAATGGAAATATTTATGTATTTCCTAGCACCTAAAGCCTAGCGCCTTTCTCGACCTGTGAAGTTGTCGCGGCAACAATGAAGCCAATTATGGAGGCGACTGTTAGCGACTGAGCACCTGTCGTTTGGCTGGCTCTGGGTTCGTTCTCATCCTCCACCTCGTCCTCGTCCTCCTCCTTGTATTCGTCCTGGCCCAGGTGAAGACAGCTTCCTGCCGGCAGCGGTGTCCTTGTCTCGACGTCTTTCTCGCCCTCGTTGCGCCTGCTCCTCGTCGGCGCAATCAACGGTTGTCAATCTTTGTTGCAATCTTCATTTCGCCATCGCCTTGAGTGGCAAGGGGCTTGTGTGTCTGCTGCACTTTGCAATTTAAACGATCCAACTGCTGTTGGGCTTTCGTTATGCATGAGCAGCAGAATTGAATGCCAAATGGGCTAAATGCAGTTGCTTTGCGCTTATAAGCCAGTCGATTTGTCCTGCTTTATTTTGTAATGCCTTTCGATGCACCGAAACAAATGTAGGGGTAGGAATCACTGACCTTCGATTAGATAGACCTGACCACAGAATGCGACAAGCGGTATAATACTAATATATATTAATTATTTAAAATCTACATAAATATTAAAACCCCGTAACTTTTTTACGTCCCAAGTTTTACTTATATTTTTAAGTGCCTAAAAAAATGCAGCACTGACAGGAAAGTTAATTATTTAAGAGCATACTTTAAGATATCTTTAGACTATAAAAACTTCTTTACCATTCCCCATTCCTCCAGTGATCCTGATGTTGCCATATATATTAAGACATTTAAATCTGTTTGCCACTTACAGCTAAGCGCAGCAGACAGCAGCAAAATCAGTGGCAGCTGCAGCAGGAGCAGCAGCAGCAGTACAACAACAACGGGGCACTGGGGCCAGGTGACAACATGACACAAGGATCTAACAACGGCAGTGCAGTGCCGCAGGGTTCGCAAGGCGACATCCTGCCCACCCGCCCGCTGCATACCAAATTAGACATACAGAAAATCCCGGAGGACGCGGGCGACGCCACACAAAACGCTGCAACAATAATTTTAACGCCGACATCATTAAATTTAACAAATACAACACAAAATGTAGCCGGCAACAATGCGGGCAGCACCAACACCAACTCAAACTCCAACTCCGGCTCCGGGTATCCAACTCCGGGCGGAGTCCGTGGCGACGAGTACAAAGGGCCCAAATGGTAAGTGAAAAGCTCATGTGGCCAGCACTCCGGGTTGCGAAGTCGCGGTGCCGGTGCCGGTGCCGGTGCCATTGTGCGGATTTGTGCTTAACCCTTTGAATATGCACTTCCGGCGGGACAGCAGCGCCGCCATTCACACTTGCATTGCACGCGTTTTTCGCATATCCGTTGGCTGCCTTTCGTTTTGTATTTTGTATTTTGTGTTGTGTACTTCTTTTGTGCGCCAACAATGTCGTCGTGGAAGTTGCCGTTGCACTAGGCAGCGGCGCGTGCTTCCGTTCGGTTTTGGAGTCCTGTTTTGGTCCTTTTCCCAGCCCAGGCATACATATCTCATCCCCATGTCCCCGGACGTCTAGTCTAGTCGCAGGCGCGCCCGATTTCTTGTTCTCCTTTTGGCTGCGACACTTAGTTTAATAGCTGGCGAAATGCCTTGTTGGCTGCAGGCGTTTATTCTTCATGTTCACAACAACGCGGCGTATGAGTTACAGTGTTACGTATCCGACCCGTGGGTGTGTTTCCATTGCGGTGCTGCACTTGGCTGCGTCCTGGCTCATGTCTCACTTTACTTGGACATCTTCAGCAGCAGGGCGAAGAAACTGTAGGCATTGTTGATGGTCTGCCAAAAGTTAAAGGTTAGAGGAAAGCAATAAATATATTTTTTATAGAGGACTATTATCATTTCCGTAATGTTTTAAGAAGTAGATGAAAAACGGTTGGTTTTTTCTTCAAAACCGATTGATAGTTTCTGACCTCTTATAACTCACAATTTTTAATTATTCAATCTTTTACAAAAATGAAAACATCTCATACAAATCTTACCTTTACGAAAATGGGCAGCCCGATTTCGAAGAACACCCCAGCCCGCACTTTAACCGGTCGCTTGAGGAACTCCATGTAGCAGTTGAGCAGCTTGCGGGTGCCCACGGAGTACTCCAACCAGTTAGTAGCAAAGACACTGTCAGTGAGAGCATTGGCATGGACGGTCAACTCATTGCCATAGTAGCAGGGCAGGAATATCTGGACGATCATGACGGCCACGAACTGCACGGTGGTCAGAAAGAGACCAGGTCGCTGCTTGAAGCCCATGTGCACCAGTCGATAGGCGCTGAAGCAGATGATGAAGGCGCTGAAGATCACCTGGGATAGGACATAGGGCGAAACTAGCACCTCACATTCCCTGGTCAATTGCCGGACCTTAGCGTCCAGCTGGAAAATCCTTCTCAGCTCAGTTCTGGCTTTCTCCTCGGGAGCATTTCGCAGAGCACTCAGTCGCATTCCTATCAGCCTGAAAAGCATGGAGATCTGGAACATAAAATAACAGCCCAGAGTGTCCAGCAGGACATTGGAAAGGCAGCAAAGAGTCATGGCCACTACATTGTAGCCCCAGGCGTAGAAATAACGCTCCCTGGTGCGCCATTCAAAAGGCACATAGTATCCGAAGGGCAGCTCGTATTCCTCCTGGAAAAACACACTAATATATCCCATTAGAGCCACGAAAAGGCTTCCTCCGATGTATAAGTAGAAGATGCGCTTAAAGTCCTTTTGATTTCGCTCCCAGAATTGAATTTCGTTGTGATTTCTTAGATTATAAGCAGGGTTGTGCTGCAATTTGTTTATAAGATTAGCTGCCTCATTTCGTCGGTACCAAATATTCAGCAGCTTAGTGACCAATGTCAGTTCGGTTATGGACATATACAAGACTTGACCAGCCTCCTCGAAATCGGCAGAAGTCATAGCCTCATACCACATGAGAGCAATGTAGGTAAAAGTCAGCGGCAGGTGCAACACAAAAGGATAGATGCGTTTAAGCCGGGATAAAATGCCATCTCCTTCGTCGTTTTTCCATTTCAGAAGTCCCGTCCAGCGCTGGACCACCAAAAGAAATTGAATGGCACTCAAGCGATTCGTAGACTCCATTATCACTAGTTTAATTAAAATTTACTTAATGAATTAGCCACTGACTTTTCCGGCTTTTATAACCATTGGAGTTCCCAAAGCCTTTTGTAGGTCAATTTGGGGACATTTCTTTAATTGAAGCTGAACTAGGGTCGTATTATCGGACTTTTTTTTAACTGGAACTATCTTTCTACATCCTAGTTCATGTTTAGTTCAAATAAACTAGTGCCTGCATCCTTATGAAAATTTACATTATATTAAATGGTAAGGAACCGGTTCATGTTGGGAGCGTAGTTCTCGAGCTGCTCCAGCCCTGATTTCTTTAGGTAACCAGCCAAAATATTTACACAATTAATAAGCAGGGCAATTACAATAATTAGCTTGGACAATAGCTAACAATACTACTTGTTAAATATTAACTGTTGACCGTCACAAAATGTGTAAGTCACGCAATACAAAACCGAGATAACTGGGGAAATAACCCCATCATACTAGTATTCCTTCATTAACATTACGATTTTAAAATCAGTGTACCAAAGCCTCTGCAGCTAAAAGGAGTTCCGATGCCTGAGATGCCTAATATGCTTAAGTCTCAATCTTTTAAAGGAAATCATTTATATAAAATAAAATAATATATAAGACCCAGATGGGGCTCTATCTTTGCAAACAACTAGTTCCAGAAAATTCTAAGCACAAATTGAATTTGGACATTTGTACATTTTCAGACTTGTATCTTAGCAGTATTTTATAGAAACTTTAATTTAATAAATAGGAATGATGATTCAATTTTTAAAACATAATAGATTTATTATATTTAACGAAGAAATAGTCATTAAGATTTAATAAAACAATTCAAATCAATTTGTTGTGCATATATTTTGTAATAATCATATTTATTAAAGTCTTTTATTACATATTTGACTTTTTACTGCGAAACATTTAGTAGAAGAGCAAAGAAACTGTAGGCATTGTTGATGGTCTGTAAGGTTCGAGAAAAGAGTTTAAGAGAAGACAAACAAGACAGATTTAAGTGTATATGTAGACCTTAACGAAAATGGGTAGTCCAACGGCGAAGAAGTTTCCAGCCCGAATAGTTACTGGTCTTTTGAGGTGCTCCATATAGGTGTTGAGCAACTTGCGAATTGGGGGCCGACATTGCAGCCAATTGGTGTGATATACTTCGTTGGTCAGTTGGTTGGCATAGACGGTTATCTCATTGCCATAGTAACATGGCAAAAAGATCTGCAGGATCATGACACTCACAAATTGCAGCATGGCTATAAACTGACCGGGATTATCTCGAATTCCCACGTGCTGCAAGCGGTATCCACTAAAGCAGATTATCAGGGCACTCAAAATTATCTGAGATAGGATGTAAGGTGACACAATTTTCTGGCAAATGAGGGTTAATCTGTAAGGACATGATATTAGCACAGAAGAAGGAAATAACTGTAAATTTTATAGGACCTTCGTACACTCTGATGCAACATGAAGATGCCACGCAACTCCTGGCCAAAGTAGGAGTCGTCATCTATATTCTTAAGACCCCTCAATCGCAAGCCCAGCAGTCTGTATAAAAGAGAGATGTGGAACAGGAAATAGCATCCCAGGGTGTCCAGGGTTATATTCGATATGCAGGTCAGCGTCATTCCAGCCATATCGTAGCCATAGGCAAACCAGTACCTCCTCTCATTTCGCCACTCGAATGGTACATAGTAGGCGAAGGGCAGTTCGTAGTCCTCCAGGAAAAGCACGCCAGTGCAGCCACTATAAACCACACCCAAACTTATCAGGATGTATATGTAGAAAAACCACTTGAAGAAGCGCTGCTTCCGCCGCCAGAAATCCAGCTCTTCATGATTGCGCAATTGGTAGTTCGGTGAATGCTGGAGCTCGTGCATCAGCTGCCAGGCTTCAGTGCGATGGTACCAGATGCTCAGGATCTTTATTACCAGGGCCATTTCCGTAATGGACATGTAGAGCACTTGGCCCGCCTGCTCCAGGTTGCTTGAGATGAAGGCCTCCAGCCACATGAGTCCGATGAAGGTGAAGGTTATGGGCAGGTGCAGCAGGAAGCGATAGTTGCGCTTAATGAAACCCAAGAAAGTCCACTCCGCTCCAGCTCTTAAGGACCAGGGCCAGAGGCCAAATAGTTGCATGACCCGGAGAATCAGGCGCATGGCCTCAATGCGATCCTTGGGGTTGTCCATTGGTATTAGTCCTGGTTTTAATTTCTTTCGGCAGGCTGCTTTTATAGCTTTAAGTGGCCACGGTAATTAGCAGCAATTACGAGTACATAATTAAGTTAAAGACACACGAAACGACTTATGAAGGACGAAATTCCCTAGTCCATTCATTGCTTTTGTTCCAGTTGGTCTAACTCTTTTCTTGAACTCCTTACAGGTGGATACACTTCCGGTCGCATTGGGTGAACATTTCCGAGCAAGTGGCCCTGCTGGCCATTTTCCTGGGTCTGTGGTCCATGGCCTGGGTTTTGCTGCCGGAATACTCACAGCCACAGACCGTCATTATGCGGATTGCATTCCTCTTCGTTGGAGCTCAGATCCTTGGTATCCTGGTGTCCTTTGTGCACCTGCCCGACATGCTGGGCATGCTCTTTTTCGGAGTGCTCTACGCCAATCTGGGTCTGGCTAATTTCGAGGGCTATCAGAAGTTCGAGCTGTTTTTGAGGTGAGTTTATCGGGGCTGCCACAGAAGTCAATAGGCTTTGAAAGGATACAGCTTATTTTCAATCAGGAGGTTCGAATAATTCATTTAAAAGGACGAAGTTCTCTTTTGCGCCTTATTATCTAAGACAACTTTAAAAGTGATATCAAAACCCTAAAGATTTCTCTGGCACCCCCTATTTTTGTTCTTTAAATACATTCAAGAATCTTATAATATAATTTCCCTCCCTTACAGGGAAATGGCCCTGATCAACATCATGTTGCTGGCTGGCCTCGGGCTGGATGGAGACGCCTTCAAGCGGCTGTGGTTCATGATTCTCCGCCTGACCCTCCTGCCCACAATTGTGGAGGTGGCGGCCATCGCCGGACTGGCCTACCTCACCCTCTCGATGCCCTGGCTGTGGGGCATTGCCTTGGGGTGAGTGGTTAATGGATTACTTCGGTTATCGGGGGCCTTAATGGGCTAGTTCAATGTTGCAGGCTGGTCATCACCGCCGTCTCCCCGAATGTGGTCGTCACCGTGATGCTGAAACTCAAGGAGGATCGCCTGGGCCTCAACAGCGGCATCCACACGCTCATCTACGCCATGACCACATGCAACGATGTGGTGGCCATCTTCATGTTTGGCGTGATAATCAGCGTAATATTCTCAACGAGTGCGTGCCACCCGTCGTGCCCGGGAATCAGAGTTAAATAAACCCCCGATTCCGCTTACTTGCAGCCTCGCTCACCCAGCAAGTGCTGCAGGGTCCCATTGGCATCGGGATTGGACTCGTTTTCGGCTATCTCTACGGCTCGATGCTCCAGTACTTGCCGTCGCGCAACGCGGTAAGCTGCCAGACAAAGGCGCCTCGTCCTTTTCGTCCTGCTGCTGCTCGTCCTCGAGCGGGCTGCACTTAAAATGCACATTCAGTGAACACTTAGACACTCAATCAGCGCATTTAATGATGCAAAACGCGCGCCAGTCTCCAGAGGGGAGGTGTTGGGTGGGGTTGTGCCATATGTACGTGGGGCAACAGAAGACTGCACTGGGAGAAATAGGTCCTGAGATCAAGAATATGCTAGTGGCAGGGTGCATATCCTTAAATCAGTTTGACCTACTTACCAGCGTTGTAAAAAACTATTTAAAACATCTTTAAAGCTTAATCCCTTTCTAAGTTTTATTTAAAAAAGCATAGATATACTAAAAGTTTTTAACCACTGATAATATTTCTCACATACCAAAGAAGAGTTTTCAAGTTAATACAACTTTTAAAGTTACAGAATTATTTTGATACAACTATATTTGTTGCTCACATGTAAAAAAAAAGGTTTTTATTTGAAATATCATTTTTTGAGGCATAATGTTCCAAACTATGATGTCAGTTTTTCGCATAGTGCCAGCTTCCGCACAGTCCCCTCTCAGCGGTTGTTTGTGTGGGTGCTCTTTGCATAAAAAGACACTTACATGCATAGCGGCAACGGCAACGACAACGACAACGAAAACGGCGAAGCTGGCGACATTTGCGACGACAGTTACTGCCAGCGTCTATGTGAAGTTATGCCGGGGACATCGAGGCAGCCGCAGCCAGAGCCACAAAACTCATTGCCGCAACTTACACCGCTAATGGCGCGCATAATCAAACGCCATGGGTGGTGCGCTGAATGCGCTGCACCACCCACTAAGCCACCCATCCCCAACCCAACCCAACCCAACCCCACGAACATGCACACACACACTCCCGTGGAGTTCTCATAACTTTTGTTTTCTGCAAGTCGCGCTCGCCTTTGCCATCGTCAAGTGGCATCCACATCCGCATCCACGCAAGGGCTGCAGTTTGTACAAAAATTTCACGCTGTGCGCTGTTGAAGTTGCATCCTTGCATATTTTACACACCCACCAATCACCCAGCCATCTCCTGCCACCCACCGAACCACTCACACACATACAATACATATATATACACACAGCCATGGGCTATTCACTGTCAACTCCCAAAGGGGAAAAGTAGGGGCTGTCATCAGGCCTCGGTTTTGGTCTCAGCGTTTTTTTCGCATGTCATTGCTACCGCCTTTATTTTATTATTATTACGCAGTCCCTTGTAATTTCGCATTCAACGTCACCTTTTTTCCACTTAATTTTCCCGCTCCCGCTGACAGTATTTTTCAATAAGATATTCGCTCAAAAGTTTGCAATTCGACGAGGCTGCGAAAACTCAAGTTGAAGAACTTAATATCCCAGCGTTAAGGTAAATTGTACTTTTTCCTATAATAAAGAATAGTAAGCTAACGAAGTGCCATCGAAGGCAATTTCATGCTATTTTACTAGAACGAGTAGCTTTAAGTTAAATAAAAACAAGAAAGGAAATTATATTCTTCAAAATTATTCATATGGTGTATTCTTAATACTCATAAAAAGTCTCAACTTCCTAACTTTAAAAACACCAAAGTTATGGCATTTCCAATCGTTCAGTTATATGGCAGCTATAGGATATAGTCGGCCGATCCTTATGTAATTTGGTAGGTCGGATTGATTGGCCAAAAATAAAACCCATAGAAAATCCCAACTTGATAACTTTAAAAACACCAAAGTTATGGCATTTTCAATCGTTCAGTTATATGGCAGCTATAGGATATAGTCGGCCGATCCTTATGAAATTTAGTAGGTCGGATTGATTGGCCAAAAATAAAACTCATAGAAAATCCCAACTTCCTAACTTTAAAAACACCAAAGTTATGGCATTTCCGATCGTTCAGTTATATGGCAGCTATATGATATAGTGGCCCGATCCGGCTCGTTCCGACTTATATACTACCTGCAATAGAAAGACAACTTTTGGGAAAGTTTCAAGCAGATAGCTTTAAAACTGAGGGACTAGTTTGCGTAGAAACGGACGGACGGACAGACGGACGGACAGACGGACGGACAGACGGACGGACAGACGGACAGACGGACATGGCTAGATCGACTCTCCTGGTGATGCTGATCAAGAATATATATACTTTATAGGGTCGGAAATGTCTCCTTCACTGCGTTGCAAACTTTTGACTGAAATTATAATACCCTCTGCAAGGGTATAATCACTTGACAAAGAAAAGGACGCATATTGAATTGCAGCAGTTTGCGGACATAGTAAGGCAAATTAAAAGATTCCAATCAGTCTTAACACCAGCCGGGAGAACTGACAAGATGACACTGCAGATATTAGAAAATGTCCAAAAATTCCGGCTGAGAAAATATTGTTGTAGGCTAGATTTATCAGATCTAAATCGTTGTAAAAGTCTTTTTAGTACAGTTTTTGAGTTTGAAACACAGGTATATGCAAGGAAAAACAAAGAGAGACAGTGCCTTTTTTCCTCGGCTGCAGCACACGTTGCGTATACGCAACCTGACCGCACACACAACACAAACAATGCAGAGATGAACGGTAAAAAAAGCAGTCTCCATCAGAGCTTTGTAAAGTGATTTCGCCTTTTTTCCCCCTAACTCACCTGTTTTGCCATTCACTCTCTTCATATCTGTCCTTTCCCCATCCATTGCAGACGTACGCAAATGGGCTCCGTTTCGTCCTGACCGTCTTGGGCGGCACCATCGCCGTGATGGGCAGCCGCGTCATCGGTTATACGTCGGCCGGTGCTCTGGGTTGTGTAACGACCGCCTTCATTGCGAGGATTGGCTGGCGGCGGGAGGAGTCCAGGCTGACGGCCCAGCAGCTGCAGGCACAGCAAATTGTGAGTATTCCGCACTAAAAAAAAAGTCCTAATTTATTTACTCGTATTTTAGTTAATATCTGTCAAAGGAAAAAGTGAAATCAAAGTTCCACTCATGAGCTCTTTTTATTATATCTACATCCGATATAACTTTTTTAATCATTAAGGTCTATCCATATTATAATTTTAGTTTTTTCTCAGTTAAATGCAACTTTTATGTCACATGTAATACAAGGCGAAAATAACATAGTGGTGTCACTGAAAACTACCAGAAAAACTACCAATTAAAAAATAGAATATCACAAAAATTGTTATGAAGTCTTAATTAACTTTTTATATTTTGAATTCAATTATTTAACATTGAATCTTTTATTTTTTTTAATATCATTTCTATTTTAAAAAAATAAATTTGGTCTTTAAAGAATAACTAAGAACTCTCCCATATTTGTTTTCTGTGTTTAGGATCTGGCTCTTTAAGCTCGAGACTTTGGCTTTGGTCCACCTTTGGATTTCTGAGTGCTTTCGGTGTATTGGGCGCGCCCGCTCTTTTTCTGTGTTGTTTGGTTTTGGGTCAAGAAAAATGTTCCCTGGCAGTGCCATTTTTTATGTCTGTTCCGTTGCAGCTGTAAAAAGCGCCTGTATGTGCGGGATTTTTGCTAGGCAATTTGTGACATCACGTCCTTGTCCCATGTCAGAGTTGACTGCCGGTGCTCGATTTGTTTCCAGCAAGAGTTGTTTTTTTTTTTGGGTGCTCTTTCCATTTACCTTTGCATTAAATTTTTAACCCAGATGCTGGCGAGGCGGTGATTGTGCACTCCGGCTGCACTTGAGTTCCAAGGCAACGCTCCGTAAGCCGATTGGCTCGCTTCCTTCTTCTTGGCCGTCGGTGGCTCTTCTGATTTAAATGGGGAAAATAATGAACGAACTGGGTCCCAATTGAACGCATGGCCCCGATCTAATAACAACCTATTGATTTCTCTTGCAGGCGAGTGTGCCCAAGCGTCTGGACCTCATGTGGAAGTTCCTCAAGCCCGTCTCGTTTGCGCTTATTGGCAAGGAAATTAATTTCAACGTGCTGCAGGGCCATGTAATCGGTTATGGCGCTTTGTTGGTGCTCGTCGGAAGTTTGGTAATTAAAATGGTCGCCGGAGGCGTGGCCGTTGGTGCAACAAATGTTCTTCGCCCCGGCCACTTATTTAATTTCTTTCGGTTCTCGACCAGTTTGTGCGGGAAATGGACGCTGCCAGGCGACCAAATCCCCATGGTTTTGGGTCGAAAGAAAAAAAAACGAAGGGAGGTGGGGCTGAACCGACCGAAATGAAAATGTTCCGGTACCGCAATGCAAATGTTACCTGCACACACGGCACAGAAAACCAAAGGAAAAAAACCAGCTAGAGATGACCACTTTCTTGTTCTTGTTTTCAGTTTCGCCTGGCTTTTGCATATTTATCCACATATGGCGGAAATCTGTCGAGAAAGGAACGTGCCTACATTACAATTTCCGGTTTTCCCAAAGCAACTGTCCAAGTAAGTTTCCCGTTCCGCGTGTCATGTTGCTGCGGTTCCCCATTGCCATCCCGTACTCTCCGAACTCCATTCTCCATTCACCGTTCTCCATTCCCCGTTTTCCATTTTCCGTTTTCCATCCGTTGTCTCCTGGCCTGGTGGCGCTTTTTATTTCATTGCCGGCCATTTCACTCGCTTGCCACTGGCAGACTGACCGTCGTCCCGACTGTCCTGCTCGTCCTGTTTTTCCCGTTCATCCTGGCCTGGTGTTTTCCCCATGCTTAAGTTATACACGTATTTGCAGGTCATGTTCTCTTGGCCAGAGTCATCGCAGGTCCTGCTCCTGCGGCTGCAGTTGGCATGCCAGCCTTTTGTTTGCAGTTTAACCGCAAGCGGACATTTTGTTTATGTCGCCTGTTTGAGCGAGTGTGCGCCCTGTGTGTGGCTGCCAGAAATTTAAATGTTCCGCTGGCTTACTTACTAACTTCCCCAGAAAACCCTGGTCGGTCACATGTGTGTGCCTGTCTAACTTTTCCCTAATATGCGGTGCATATTTCACTGTCCACCGTTCTCGTACTGATTTAATTAAAATTGCACAGCAAACTGCATATAATCTGGTTACGCTGCATATCACTCATCCGCAGCGGTGGCCGCCCTCTAACTCTGTATTTTGTACTCCTTTAGGCCGCTCTGGGTCCGGTGGCTTTGGACTTGGCACGTGCTGCCAGCGGGGCCAGTACAGAACAGCTTGCCTTGGCCAGCAATGTGCTCATCATCTCGGTGCTGGCGATTATTTTCACCGCCCCACTGGGCGCCATCCTCATGCTGCGACTGGCGCCATATTGGCTCAAACACGGCGATGCAGTGGAGGCGGTGGACTCCCCGACCACGCCCACAGTCCCAAACGCCAAGGCCTTCAATAGGACTTAGCACCCGGATGACCCACGCATCTGGAGTCGAAAGTTTTAATCCATGCCGTACTTACCTAGCCATCCTAGCTGTACTTATACTTACGTGTACTTAGTCCCATTCGGCAATACGAAGTTCAAATAAAAATAAATGCGAAAAGTTACAAACATATTTTCCTCAAAGGTTGGTTTTTCGATTCATTTTCAATTCAAAGGACCTTTTTTTATGGGACTAATTTTCCAGTTATTTGAATTAACAAAGTTTGGACTTAATCCGGCAGGACTACCGCCCCAAATGGGCAACTTGGCGAACTGGGATTTTATTGTTTTTTGTTTTTTGCCCCAAAAAGAAAAGCTTTTCGGCACCTAATTATGACTGGATCTGTGTTAATCCCGGGCTTGAGCCCTTGCTAATTGATTTTATAATTAATTTAGGGGGACTTAAACGCTACGGCATGTCAATCTGGCACGAGTTTTTGTGTCATGTCGAATCAATCCGTATTAATGATTGACAATTGAACAAGCTGTTATTGTGAGCAGAGGCCGCTCAAAGGCTTTCGTTCTCCACTCGTCGAGTTGGTCAAGTAAATAAATGAACCCAAAATGACTTTGTTATTTTCAAAGAATAGTTCTCATCCTCGCCCCGTTTTTTCTCAACAAATTTTTGCGCCTGCTGCTTTTGTGACAGAACCATTTGGCTTCGAGCTGGGTAAAGAGCTACGCTGGATCCATGGCAAAAACACAAAATAATGGCAAAGAGGGAAGAATGTCATTTAATTGAAAAGTGATTGTGGGGCCAACCAGCATCGAGTTGTCCCCTCCTTTCGCCATGCGATGCAGAATTTGCAATGCAAACGGCTTAGAATGAACTTGATGTTCTGGCCGCCTTTGATGCTTTTAGTTTTTGCTGTTGCTGCGGTCGCATGACGACCGATGGTAACGGAAAACAGAGTGAATTTTTTTTAAATGGTGACCAATTTGCTTTTGAAACACTTAAAACTCCAAAACTCTACCTTCTTAATGTTTTCCTAAATTCTACTAAAATTTTAATATATAATCAAATCCGAAACCTTTAAATAAATGATTAAAATAAAGAAAAGTTTGTGATATATTAAAAACCAATCGAACATACATTTTTTTTATTTTCATCGCTTGCTGCTCCACAAATTTTGTGATTTCAAGGTAACTAGTAAGCACTTTCAAAGACTACTTGGTATAAACTAAATAAAACTCCATTCGATTGATATTTTGCGCAGTGTAATAGCTAAGCTTCAGCTGTGTCCCGGTTGAGTGAATGCCGAAAGGAATGAAATTAAAAGACGGCAAAAACGAGGCAAGCGATAGAACTGAGAGAAAAACTTATCATTTTTATTATCCTGCAGCTGCGCATATTTATAACTTGATGTCCCTGTCTCTTTCGCATTCGCATTTGCCATCGTCTATCCTGGTGGCCTTTGTGTGGCTTGAAAAAGAGTTGGAAATTGAAGGTAAATTAGTGTTATTAAAATGGCTGCACAAAAATAATTGCGCAACTAAATGAAAATTTTAATGAAAATTCTCTGGTTTCTTTCCTTCTCAATGGTACCTGTGCTTTTTCACTTTTCCGCTGCGATGGCCATTGCCCCAGCTTTCTGTTATTAGTTGCATTGTTTTCGCAGTTGATGTCCGTGCAATTAGCATAATGAAAGCATCTGCAGGGCTAGGATATTTACGCAGGCGGGTAAGAACAACCAATGGCAAAAGAGCATTGGATGGCCGGCTAAGGGATATAATGAAGTGCGTAAGAGCCGGAAAACTCTGATTCGAGTACCGCAATTACGCCACAATTGAGTTATGTTCGCATCACATCAATTATGCTGCCACCGGCATAATCCTTCAAAACTCATTGCTCTTATCGCGGCCATTCAAATGCCACCGGCCATAGATCAACCTTATCAGCGCAGCCAAAGCATTTTCCTGCGCCAAATAAATTCCAGCAGTTTATTATTCTAATTCGCATGCCGAATTCCGGCAGAAAAAGAACGCCAGGCACGTCACCACCTTGCGCACAGGAGCCAAGCCACCCATCGAGCCACTAAGCCACTCTGCCACTCAGCCACCCAAACCCCCCCGAATACCACCCAATGAAAGGCCACGACCACCCACAAAGACAGCCAACCGATACGGCGAAAAAGGAGTTGTGCGAGTGCCAAACGAAATCAAATCAAAAAGTTCACAAAAATGCCAGACCAACAGAAATTAAGTTATAAAATTTTAAGGACTATGCGCAGTTTAATTTCCAAATGCCATGCCACAATCCACACCCCAACCGCCCACCTCCCAGAGATACACACAGGTGGGCGGGGCAGGAGCTCAGGGGCAAGAGCGTATTGTGGTTTTTGTTATGCGCCGATTACCATAAAAACAAGCCAAAGAAAGTTGCCTCCTCCTGCCAGTCCGACGTGGTCGGAAACGGAAATCAAGAAAACAAAAAGAATGAGCCCAAATGAAGTCAAACCTGGCGCCCGCTCCTTCAGTTAATAAAGTTAGTTGCGTTTGCCTTGACGGCGAAAGTTTTGAGTTATAAGCGCGCAAATTATGGCTTACAACAAAGCAATGGCAGCGGTTGCAAAAAACAACCCACAATGCCGAACAAAGGAAAACAATTAACATGACGAAGACACATAAAATTTCCACTTCCATCCAGCCTTCCCTTGTAGTTGGGTGCGTCGAATTAGCAGTTGTATTTGCTGGCTCGAAATGTGCGTCAATCACGTGATGGGAGTCGGCTCCAAAACCCTCGGAAAATCCACTTTCTCACCCCAGAAAAGCCGACTCTTGTCTGCGTCTTGTTGTTTTGTTAATTTTAATACATGTACTTTTTATCGCTCGGCATTCCCCAGCAAGCTGCTGGCTGAATTAAGCCATTTGTTAGCTGTATCTGTGGCTTAGCTTTCGGCAACTCCTCCTCTCTTCCTTGCAGGACCCACTCCTTGGCTATCAATGCCAACTCTGGGCCAGGGGCCACAGGTCACAGCACATCACAGTTATTTTCGTGCAAACGGCATATTTTTTATGGCTTGTCGCTGGATTCTTGTTTCTCGTGCTGTAATTAGACAAAATTGTTGACTGCCACGACTCCGCCCTGTGCCCCGCCCACTTAAAGGTAACCCCCAATTCATATCCACCCTCCCACCAGCGATTGTTCACTCAGTCCTTAATTCTGCCACTCATGTCTGCGGCTCGCACCACTGTTATCCTGCCGCTGGAGGTGTGTTTGACACTTGGCGTGTCGCGACGGCGAAATATTATTCCCGACCATAGACCATTCACTGAAAAAAAAATTAGTTTTAAAGAATCTACTAATAAAGATTAAGCTTTCTCTATTTTGTATAGAAACACTTTCGAAAAAAAGTTAATTTGAATTTATTTTTTTTATGTTTTGCTTGAAAACATCATATTTGAAATATTGAATTGTATTTATCTATTCTCTTTAACATATCTGATTTAAAACAATTTGGTTGAAATACAGATTTTTCTATAATTCTTGCTTTTAATTTCTGTCAAAAATATTAGTATTTTGGCCAAAACAACAATATGGAATGTTACACCTCGTAAAACTCTTTATAAAAGTCCTAATCGACTAACATTTCAAACTAAAAATGTTATTAAAAACTATTTTCGAAGATATAATTTCACATATTCTGTTCAATTTAAAGTTTAAGTTGGATAAATATATAATATTCATATTATTAAATCCAATTTCTAGAACTCTAACATCGATTTTTTACAAGAATAAGAATTTGTGTCAAGTTTTTATAAACTTTGTATTTTTAAAAACAAACTCAGTTTATTGAACAAATAAAAACTAAATTAAATGATAACGAAATTAGTTACTCATCACAAATCGAGTGCTAGATTAGAGTTGTTTACACCAAACACTTATCAAATTATTCACTGTGTTCGAACACGGGGATGATCTTTGGGCAAGAACAGTTCATTCGGGTTTTATTGTGATTATTCAGAGTGTGCATGTGTATAAAAAAAATTCCACTTTTATAATTATGCAGCAAATGCGTGTCACCAGAGGCGCCGAACTACCAGATTTCCCGGCAGCGACCGCGGTGGTCGGGCAGATAACCCGGCTGGCAGGGGAAGTCGATCATGGCCACCTCCATCATGTTCACCTCGGTGACGGGCTGTCCGGCGACTGGCGGCACCTTGGACGCCTCGAGGGCGGCCAGTACCTGCTGCTCGTCCAGCTCGACGCACTGGTTGGGCCTTCCCAGGGTCTTCTGGTTGTTGGGGCAGTCGATCCGCTTCAGGCAGTACTTCAAACAGGGCCGCGGAACGGGCACCTGGGTTAACTTTTTCTTGCAGGTGAAGTGCGCCTCACAGCCCTCTCCAATGGCGGGCACATTGTTGTTAATGAACAGCGATTGACGTGGCTCCTCCGTAGTCGTTGTTGTCGTAGATGTGGTACTCGTCGAGGGGGACTCGCGGTGGAAGATCTTGGCCAGGAGACCGGCCTGCGCGACGGTGACCAGCAGAACGGCCAAAAAAGCCACCAGAAACTTCTTCATCGCCGACTTGTTTGCACTGCGACTGTCGTTCGACTACAAAGCTTTGCCAGTTTTCAAGAGCGGCAATCTGCGGCCGCCGGCATTCGATAACCTCTGACCCCAGAACTGCGGCAGGGCGATAAACAGTCAACCCGCATCTAAACTCACACATTTGTGTTCGCCTATAATTCCAGACAGTTTTTCTATCACTTTTGGTTGGCTTTAAATTGGTTTATCACAAAATTGAATTGCATTTGAGGTGAGCGGAGGTCTGGGCGGCGTGGGCCACACGCACTTTTGGCAAATTTGACACAGGAATTGAATTATCTGCATTCCGTGAACCGCAAAATTGTATAAATAAATATTAGTCAATTCGGTATTTCATACATGCGTATGCATAATTTTGACCTGCCATGGGAAAGCCGAGGGCGGACCAAACTGCCAGTTTAATAAAATGGAAAATAAAGCAGGGCAGGAAACACGCTCGAAAAATCGACACATATATTCATTGATAATGTCGATGGGCTGCTGATTTGTAAATTGCGCTTTAAGTGGATTTAATTGATAAGAACTTTTTGTAAGAGAGCCGGTCGTAATTCGTTCTGTTTGACAAACCTGATAGTCATTTGACTATAGTTATTAAACTAAAACTGTATTAGACGTCATTAAAAATTTAAATGGACAGCCAATGAAACCTCAATTATTTTCAATTATTTGTGTTGTGATAAGTACTTATAATTCTAAATTGGTTCAAAACATAAACTTGAAACCTAAGCCATTTGTGATTTAATATAGAGTTAATTAAGACGATACATAAAATAATGGTTTAATTAGTCAACTATTTGACATTTAAATTTAAGCTGCGATCCCATGACAAAGGATTAAGAAAGCTTTGAAAACCTTTATTAAGCCGCCCTTCGGCTCGTTTAATAAAGTATACAAAGGTTGTAATTGGTTATTTAATACGACATTGTCTTAGAGGCGCTACTCCTAGGTGTCTTACAAGAAGGCCCAAAATGTCGAACGCATCAGATATCGCTCATTATTGGGAACCAAGCTCCGCATGCCGTTCAATGGGTCACCAACAAAAGCCGACTGGGCTCATGGTATTTGGGTGATTTTACAGATGGGGGCGTAATGGAGCATCTGCAGCTCATTGTCGACGTGGGGGCACTCCTTTGAAATCATGGAACAGTTGCAAACTATTTGAATAATTGATATTAATCGGGGCCAAGAGCTGTCAAAACTAATTTGTGATGTGTTTCGAAAGCCAGATTATTGATGATGATTATGACCGGGGCCTAATGAAGGCAGCGTCTAATGGAAGTGGTTGTTCTGACAATTGACCCATCGACAGACGCGCTGAGTAGTTGCTTCTAGTTTTGGCCGATTGTCCTCCCACAGAGGCATTAATTACACTTGGACTCGAGAAATTGATTCGCCTTCGACGTGGCAAACTTCGACCGACCATTGTCTGGATGGGAAATCGCTTAATATGTATTAACATTTATTGCCGGCCAAACTTTTGGAGCGAGAGGGAAGAAAAGAAATGCTAAGACAACAGCAGTCCGGAAATTGCCGAACACTGATACTTCCGCCGGAAATAGGTTCAATTCTTGTTGTTCACGCTGCAGGAGGTGCTTGCTGGTCTCGAAGTAAATTAAGTTAAGGTCGATGGAGTTCTATCGGTCGATCTAATATGAAGGACAACGCCTGTTTGGCGCCTTTCTCTCACTTTCTCTCTCAGTTATCAATAGAAACACATTTCACATTTGTCGTAAAGGCGGCTTAATTGCCGCCCACTCCCCGGTTTACAGGGCTTTGCACAATAAACAGATCATAATCTGGCTAAAACTATCAATTTCAAGCCAAACAGAAGGGAATATCTCAATCTGAAGCTCGAGTCGAAATGGAGGAATGTGACAAAAAACAAATGAAAATGCTTTACAACATAAAAACAAACTGGAGAGCGGGATGAAATCGGGATGGCTGGGGCGACGGCAACGATGTGTTAACACTTAGGAGGACGAACGAGCAGTGGCCGGGTGACAATGAAGACAGCCGAAATCCTTCGATAGGTTCTGGAGGTCCTTTATGTCCTGGAGGAGGCGGTGGCTGTCGACTGCGACGACTGGAACGTCTGTGCGTCCTCATAGATTTACGCACACTTAAGCAGCGTTTACTCAGTCCTCCAACTTCAAATAGTCGTATAAATTGTTCGGCAGGCGCAACTGTAGCCCGGGCTTTTTGTTTCTGCTCCTCTTTGTCTTTGGCTTTCGGTTGAACTGCTGTCCGGACGGAGATTCAGCGGGGAGGAGGAAGGGGGAGTGGCACTTCCGGGGCGTGAATGAAGTGCCATGTTCTCACGCTCACGCATTTGCCAAGTGCCTGCCGGCCCACATGTCGTATGAGTTTTATTTCCCTCTGTTTATATGACTGTCTCTGTGCGCTCAATCGTTTCTGAGACACATTTATTTGCTCTGCTGCTGCTGCTTCTTCGTCTTCGTTGCTGCTTCTTTTGTTAGTTTAACAAATAAAATTAGTGCTATAAACATTCGTTTGCCAAAGCCTCTATACGTGGCTCTATAGCAGTACCCACAGGGAACTAAATTAAAGTTGCCTTTAAAAACAAAAAAATAAAGGTTTTCTCTTAAATGACTTTAATTTAGAATCCTCCCTCTAATCACCCCACTAGTAACTTCTATATATTTGTTTACACAATCGCAACTCTTTGCCACTTCATAAGTTTTTTTTCTGTTTCTGTGCCACCCACTTCCTTGGGGGATTTATTGCCACAGCGAATCTGCTGGTATCACCAGGGGTCCGAGGAGTTGGAAAACAGAAGGAAAGCTAGACAAGGACCGAGCTTGTATCCCATTTCCGGCTGATGACTCGGATGTTTGTTTTAGCGGCGGCATTCCACTGTGCTGCAGCTCTATCCAAGACACTGCCACATCGCAGCAATATTTGCACTGCCGATTCGATTCAAGCTGGAAGAAATATCTATTAAATTTATTTTATATGTGCGGCGTATCGAAACAAATGCATTTTGCGCACAAATAGCCGGCGGGTGGCATAAAGCATCACAAAAGATGCTCAAAAGGTAAACACAATGATAAACAAACAAAGCATTGGCGGAAGTAATTGGGGTGTCGACTAGGCGATATTCTACGATATACAGCTTAGTTATGGGTTTTCAAATTTGGTCAAATTTTTCATCTAAATTTATTTAACTAGAAAGAATTTGATTTTTAGTCTTACTAAGTCATTGTATTTTTAAATGATTAACTTAATTATTCAATATTATATTTTGTATTCAATTTTATAAAAAAGAAACATCCCAATGACCTTTAATAATTCAAATTATTAAGACGAGACGTGAATAAGTCCAAATTTTTGTATACAAATTATGTATTAATTTAAGTATAATCAAATAAGAATATTTTGTTTTTCAGCTTAAGTTTGTATCAACTCTTCAGAGCGTATACCTTAAATAAGCCGCATTCCCTTTAGTTACTCGCCACTTTGTCTTTTAGATGACTATAAGTGGGCCTCATTCTCAATTTCCTCTTCTTGGGAGGGAAGAACACGTGTCCCTGCACCCATCTAGGATGCCATTTAATGGCATATTTTTGGGTGCTAGTGGCCTCCGGCCCGAAGGCTAGACATTTTTTGTCTATACACATGACAAAGAGCCCCTTTGTCTGCCATTAAAATGGCACACTCTCCGGCAGCTATATTTATGATAGGATCGGCACATATGAGGCCATTGGCGTATGTGATTATATAATTTCAATTTCAGACACGCAGGCACAGGGCAGCCAGGCACATGATTATAATTCGCTGTTGGACAGCCACTAAATTGCAGAATTCTCGCTTAGCAAACACAGAAACAAATTGCTGCGAATAAATTTTATTATTATCGCAATTGAATTGAATTTGCGATAAACGTAGAAATAATTCGCATGTTGCACATGACCGCAGTGGTGGCGGGGAATCGATCCGGATTTGAATGGCCAGTTGGCTCTCAAAATCTCAGCCAGTAGGTCGTCCTTCTGTGCAGGAGAAGGGGAATCGGAATCGGAATTGAAATCGGGATCCGTAGCATGTTCCTGTGTGTTGTAATCCCTGGCAAAGCGATTATAGTTTTTGTTTGAATTTTGAATGGGCGCACGGGAGTGGGCACTATTTACATTGATGCACTTCAGCCGCATTTTAATTGGATGCTAACTGCGCCTCCTGCCCACATTTTGGCGATTAGCGCTCAATGGAGTCCGCAGTTACTCTATTTCCAATTTGAATGCAAATGCTTCTGGTCAGCAGGAGGGCGATAACAATGGTTTCGGTTTATGCCCGCTTAATTCGCTGCCATGCGGTAAATGGTAATAAGCGCACTCTCGCAGTTCCAGAATGGCCGTGAACCGGCAGCTGATTGTTATTTATTTTAGTTTTTGCCAGGGCCATTTGTTCTATAATTTGTCACTGCAGCCGAGCCATAAAATTCGTTTTAGATATGTGTATATATGTGTAGGGCCTAGAGCTAACAAATTGGTGTATTTTATGGGCTTGTCACGGCAAACGTTTGGACCGGGCTGGCTTAAAAGCTAATTACATTTTATTTGTGTACATATTTGAGCCCCTCTCATTAGCAGGTTGGACCTCTATACCAAAGTTTTCACCCCAACTTTCTCCGTTCACCTTTCTCCGTTCTTCACTTGGCTTCACACTTGCCCGCATTCATGTAAAAATCGAGCAGCCATTCAGGGCTCAGCCTTACTTGAGTTCAATTAAAACCGCACTTGTAGTTGTTTGCATAACAAACACACTCAGAGCACTCGACACACTCTCGGCCAACTGGTCAAGCAACCGCAATGCCCGGCCACGCCCCCTCGTCCTTGCCCATCTACCGCCCATAATGCAAAACGAACTCAGTCAAAGGCTCGACGCAGTCATTGTTGGCCATTGTTTAACAATTAACCGCAAATTGAATGCAATTAAATAAATAACGGTGTTGAACCTTTGTGCAAACGATGTAGGCACGTGTACGCGTCG